ACAGCTCAAAGGTCAAGTGAGGCATCCTGACAGAGAACAAGTGCTTGTGTTGAGAAAGGAAACAGGGTTAAATTGAAGCATTGCAATATACAGGGTATCCAAATTTCACATCACAAAGATAAGCAACATTCTATTTCACTCCTTAATTGGTGTTTATCAGCAGTTTTATCGACATGCAAACTGATCAGACACCACTTCTTGTTCTGTTTGTAGCTATGTCATCTCAGTAACTGTATTTCATGGAGACAAATGCACAAACAAACTGATATAACTGTCTTAGAAATCTATTTGTTTGCAGCTGCATGTGTCTGAAAAACATTATAAACAATTTTACTCAACTTTGTGCTCGTCTAAAACTTGATACCATGTGAATGTGTCCTCAGGAGTTGCAGTAAAAACAGCTTTTTCAGTCCTATCTGCACTTAACATCACACAAACATAAACTCAGGAGTTACAACCTGGAACAAATTGCAGCTTGCTGAAGGTTCGAGCTACTGCAGCATCCCTACAGCCAGACTCTGCGAGAGCTCAGAGGGGCTGCCTGACAGACCGGCTGCTGCTGCTCTGAGCTCTCTGCAAACTGTCTGTAATTGCCTGAATTTAATAACCATGAATGAGCTGCGAGGAGAAATAAACGTAAAAGAGGTGGATGTGTGGTAAGACAGGATGCTCACCTCGCACTTGCCTCTTTCCGTCCCTCCCGGTGGAGATGGTCCCTGCCTCGTGTGCAGAGCGGTCCGATCCTCCGGCTGCGAGCGGAGCGGCCAGATGCGGCGTTCAGGTACCGTCGGAAACATATTGTGCATGGTACTACTTGCAGCAAAAAAAGTCTATCCTTCATCCCTTTTTTTTACCAAGGTGTCCCGGGTTGTATAATTTTTAAAATCACCTCACGAGATAGTTCAGAAACAATAAAAAGGACTGTCCACGACAACTTTTTAAATTCAGACATTAACAGAAGTTGCTTTAAAAACACATAAAGGTTTGTTTGAACATGTGGAGAACCATGAATGAAATTGAGTTCAGCTCTTCCCTCTGATGGATTAAGTTTTCTTGTTATAACTAAAATAAGTTCTGTTTTTCTTTTTGTCTTTCCACTTTTCTTTCTTCATCTTATTTATATGTTGGTTTATTTTTCAACAAGCATGAGAGAATAAGAGCTACTTAGATAACTAGATTTAAAGATCTAGTTAAAGAACATTAACTAGTCAAACAGCTCCTTATTTAGATGAAGCTTGGTACAATCAATCAGTGTTTGTCTGATCTACTTGAAAAATTGAAAGTCTGCCTATGTACTGGGTACTGTTTCAGTAAATTAATTCAATTATGTTGAATGTAAATTGATATTTGAACATCTGAAGATCCAATTAATGTGTATGTTGTTCGTATTGTTCTGGTTTGTTGTTTTGCTTTTGTCTTAAGCTGTTGTGAGTTGTCTTTGTGTTTGTGGCATGATGTTTTTTGTGACTGTGCACTGCAATGGAGAGCAACTTGTAAATGTAGACTCCAGGAAGAATAGCAGTGGCCTTAGCAAAGCTAATGGAGATCTTAATAAACGAAATGAGACTCTAGAATTAATTTTTTCTTGTCCTTTTGTATTTATTTCTAATCACGTTTTTTTTATAAACATGCACCAAAATGCAACATAAACTCCCATATACATGTGAAGACCTGGGCTACAGACCAATAAACGTTTCTCTAATCTTCATATTGAACCTCTTAACCTTGTATATGATAATAGTACATTGTTTTTTGTCACAGGTAGACAATTAAACTAATCCTGATTTGAGTTAATGACTATAATCTGTACCTTCTTACTTACTTGGAGTGGATGTTCTAGTTTACCAGGAGTACCTGAAGGCAACATCAGGGTCCCACTCGCTCTCTCTCACAGCCGTAACATTACGTCACTGAGCGCTGCTGTTCTCTCCCCGCATCCTCGAAGGCACCCGTTGGTTTCCATGACGACTCGCGCTTCGAGGGTGATCTACCGCCATCTTGCGACCAAACAGAGACACGTCAACGACAAGATGCAGAACTGCTGGGGCTTCTACTGTGGAGAAATTAATTGAAATCAGACCATCGCTCAGATTACCGCAGCCATTTCTCTAATGTCATGATTATACTTCTCACATTTAGATCTCATTTAGCCCGTACGTATCTAAATTAATATTTTAATCTTTTCATTTAATTGACTTGTTATGACATGATGGGAAGCAGGAAGTAGGGATCATATTAGAGTTGCAACAAGTAATCGATTTACCAAAAAAACATTAACAGAGATGCTTTTCTTGTTTTGTCTTGATTAAATGTGATAAATAGACTTTTCTTCACATGAAACAAGAAACCTTAATACATTGCCTCATTCACTGGAAATACTTTCATAAAATAATCAGCACATTAGTAGAGCTCTTGGGCCTGATCTTACATGAGTGTTCAAACAAATCTTTGTGTAAAGGAAGTTAATAGAGAAACAGGGAGACTTCCTTGGCAATTTAGGTTGATTACAATGACAGTAAGGCTGCCAAAAGGGGTTGAACTGAATTAAAAGATCACTTGTACATTAATTATATTAGTCCAGACTCGACAGGTAGCAACCAGATGACTTCTTACACGCACATTACACTAAACTGATCAAATCGTTAGGGTAACAGGGCTGACAAGAGTAAAAGTAAGCGGACACTTAGTAACTGGCTCTCCACCGGCATATCAATCAATCAAAAAATATTTATTAGCTAAATAATGTTCACTTGATGACCTAAAAATGTTTTAATTTTAAAAGGTTTACCTTTAAAGAGAGTACAACGAGGGTAAACACTATTCTATGTCATCCCTGTTACTCACATGTCAAATCCTGTTGCTGTGGAAAGGTAACAGGGTTGACCATTTTAAGATAATCTGCCTGTGGCTAGCTCAAATAAGTGCTAGCCAAAGTGCAAGATAGGTACTTTGAAAGGCAATTACTTGTAGGTATTGATTGTATTTTGAGAAATAGAAAACTATTAAGGTTTATATGTTAAAAAGTGGTAACATGGTTGACGTTGTATGCTTGTCCCCCCTGGTTAAACCTTGAAAAAACATCAAAAATAGCACATCAGAGATGAGAGAAACTTTATTTTCACTGAGCTGTTAGCATCCTGGCTCAGAGAGGACGCAACCTCCTGTCAATACATGTCAAATCTGGAATGTACTATTATTTTTTTAGTGTTTTTTAGTTAGGGTAACAGGGTTGACATAAAATCAGAGGACGCCGATAAATTGGTAAATATTGATATATTACCAAAAACAGTGTTTAACGATGAGATCATACTTAAAAAAATATGTAAATGTGAAAATGTTGACATTTTGCCAACATTTTACAAATTTAAAGTCCTGTGCAGGCCAAAAACCTTACCCTCATCAGTATAAAAGTAATTTATATTATTTAAAATTATATCAATTCGACTTGAATTTGATGTTTTATTAAGGAGAGAAGACATGGTAATGTTTTATTTTTAAACTACATATTAATTTGGTGTTATCATAATTTTATGAATGATTACTTCTTGGAATGACCCTTCAGAAAGAGAGGATTTGCAGTTTGGGCCCAAGTGGGAGGAAGTGGGGGGTTGGCGTATGGCTGACGTCAGCACGTCCGCTCAAAATGGGCGGGCCGATCAAGTAGTGGTGGTCACCCACACAACTGGGCCAAGTTTTCACAACTGTGGTAAAGTTGATCAAGACACCACTGCGTATTCAAGCTACAAGAAACACAGAAGTGGACAACCCGCTTATTTCACGAGCACCTTACTCCGAGGTTAATCATATCTTTACGTGGATCCTGTGTTAAGATCTGTACACGAGTGGACTGTATTTATTCTGAGTTTACGTGTGGAGGTCGCATTATTGCACGGGATGATGAGGAGTTTACTAAAAACAACACCTTTCCCTGCATATTTGTGTAAGTAAACGCATTTCTTTTACATAACAACAGTTTTGAGTTCGATTTTAATCCATATAACGCTCTCCCCCCTCTGATTCGAGCTTTAGTTTCAGTGTTGCTGGATTACCGCCTCTTCTTTAAACATTATTTGCCATGTAAATTCAGTTAACGTGGCTTTAAAACAATAATATCGATGAATAAACCGTAATAATCCGGTTAAATCCTGTAATGTTGTAGAAATATACATCGACTCTTAATCCTACTGGACGCCGCGCGCTCCCTGTCCAGTACGTTATGACTTGTACTATCTCTTCGGACGTTTTCTCCGTATTAAACTTGTCACAACTGGAAAACCCACGTACGTTTTATCGTTTTTCGGGCTTAAAGTACAACTAGCGTTTTAAAGTTTGAAGAGAGGCGCCTCTGAAATCATACAGACGTTCCGCGCCAAGGATTTCAAAATCTGTTTACCTGCGCGGGATACTCTCTCCACTTCCGCTACGTTGCCTTGGGCGCCGCTCCCATTGGCTGCTTTCTATAAAAAGGGCGGGACAGCCGCGTCCGTTGGGCCTGGTGATTCGTTGGAACGCACGTCAGTTACCGCCGAGATTAAACTGGCGTGTTGCTTAGAGATTAGTACAGTTTGTGTTAATTTAATCGAAATTTTACTACCGACACCTAATTTTTCTCGATGTTTTTACACTGTGATAAAAATGTGGCGATTTTTACGTTCGAGACGCGGTAAGAACTGTTTGTTATCTGCAAGAACATTTAACTGTTGTACTTAATTAAACACACACGTTGAATTAAGTATTTAAAACCACAAAGAACATCTACTGAAAGGGCAGATTTGACAAAGAAATCTACTTTTTTTTCTCAGATAACACTCTCCCCTCCAATATTTCTCTCAGAATTTAAGAATATGTGGATGAGTGTAATTTTTAATAATATATATAATATGTAATATGTTTCTATATTTGCTGACTAGGATGGTGGATTTATAGCACCCCGGCTTCAAGGAAATACACCACAGACACTATCCAGCCACTGCATATTTTTACTGGGGAACCACAAAACCATGGGTCCCCTCACCACCCCCAAAAAAGGAAGGGAAGCTGGATCTGTTGACCCCTGGACCCCAACCTCAAACCTCAAAATGCTCATCAGTGCAGCTAGTCCAGACATCAGGAACCGAGAGAAGGAGTTATGCATGGACAATGATGGACGGGAGGGTCTTGAATCCTCACAGGTATGTTATCTCACAGCTCTAATCTAGATAGACACTCTTTGATAAACTGTGGTGCTTCAGAACTAACAATTTATTTTGAATAACCCCTCTAGGGAAGCGAGAATGGAGAAGAGTCGGAGAAAATGATCAGCAGGAAAGAGAAGAGCCTGGGTTTGCTTTGTCACAAGTTCCTGGCCCGGTATCCAGATTTCCCAAACCCTGCACTCAACAATGATATCTGCTTGGATGATGTGGCCACTGAGCTCAGTATGTTTCAACTCTTCTTATCTGTCTCATAGTTTAGCCAATGTAATGCTGGTTATCAGTCATTTTGTAACACACTTGTAACATCTAAAGTGGCAACTCAGGGTCATTTCTATTGTGACCGATCATACACAATAAAGTTCTATTTTAGGCTATTGAGAAACTGAATTTATTTAAAAGATAGGTTGTTCATCACTTGTATCCTTAATACTTGTTATACTAGCTCACACGTGGATCTGAAGCAATTTGTTTCATCTGTTTTCCCGACAGATGTAGAGCGCAGGCGGATCTACGATATTATGAACGTGCTGGAGAGTCTTCACATGGTTAGCCGCTCGGCCAAGAACCGTTACTCATGGCACGGCCGCACCAAGCTGGCCCAGACGCTGGCCATCCTGAAGCAGGTGGGCGATGAGCACAAGTACGGCCAGCAGATGCAGCAGATCAAGCAGCGTCTACTGGACCGGGAGTTTGACTATGACGGGGAGGAGAAGGAGAATGAGGAGATGGTGGAGCTGGAGAACGGGGAGCAGGGACAGAAGGAACTTTTCTTCGTGGAGCTTCCAGGAGTCGAGTTCAAAGCAGGTGAGAAGCTGAGGTGTCAGATTTTAGAGTAGTTTGTGTTTGGTCTTGAATGGAAATATACAACCGGATAGTTAATAGAGAGACTCCATTTTGATTATGTTTTGTACGGAAATGAGTCAAAAGTACCTTCAAATTCAGCCATTGTCAAGCCCCTGAATATCTGAAAACTCGTTTTTCTCATTTTAACTCTCAAATACATTTTAATCAACCGTGCTGCAGCTTTGTGTATAAAAACACATATTTCCTGTGTGATTATGGTCAAATTATCTGATTATTTTTATTCCGTGTATGTTGTGAACAGCCTCAGTCAACAGTCGGAAGGACAAGTCTCTGAGAGTGATGAGCCAGAAGTTTGTCATGCTCTTCCTGGTCTCCAATCCTCGTGTGGTCAGTCTTGATGTGGCTGCCAAAATCCTGATCGGGGAGGACCAGGGTGCTGATCAAGACAAGAACAAGTTCAAAAGTGAGTATTCAGTATCATCCTTTCATTGTCTCCTTCAAGACATGATGCTGCTTTGTGATTAAAGACATACAGGAGACAGATTTCTGTTACGATTAGCATTTTTGTGCCAAAACAAGCAAAAAAGCTTTGTCAAAAAGCTGTTGTACTAACATCCAGTTTTTGCAAGTGTCAGAGCTAAGGTGTGTTTTTTTTATTGTTAGAAAGCTCACAAGACACACAAGCAAATCTACAGTTTATCAAAACTACATTAAAAAATTAAAGTTCATATACATACATTACACTAAAAAGTCAGTCCATGCACATCAATTCAAAACTGCTAAGGAAGTGTATGTGGTCTTCGCAGCAGAAGTAAATACAGTCAAATGCACAGACTAGTTCTAAATGCATGTGCTGAGGCATGTGGATTACCCATTATAATGTTTTCTCTGTTTAAATTGATTAAACTGTCTTTATCCTCATGTGCTTCTAGCCAAGGTGCGGCGGCTGTATGACATCGCTAATGTGCTGCGGAGCCTGAAGCTCATTGAGAAAGTTCACGTGACAGAAGAGAGGGGGAGGAAACCGGCCTTCGAGTGGGTCGGCCCAGAAGAATTCACACAAGTCAAAGGTAATGTTCAGGTATTGGTTGGATTTTAGTTTACAGTGAGAATAAATTTTGAGCTCAGGTAGTGAAATTTATATCTATATTCTCTGTGCAAACTAAGGCTGTCACGATATCAGAATAAAAATATTATCCTGAGATTTATACAAAAGTTGAAGAACATCTTTCAAAACAGTAAAGGGGAGGAAATGCATCAGAAACTTTAATAATTAATGCAATTAACTTAATAAATGGCATCATCATCATCAGATTAGCAACAGGCAGTTTGTAAGACGTGTTACAGAGACATTTTAAGATGGACTTTAAAAGAGGCACCACAACTGTTTCAAATCTCATAGCTCATTAAAATAAATTCAGACACAAACATTTAGAGTTCATCTCAGGCCTTCGCCTTTTTAAATGTTTTGCACAGTATCATTTTTTAAAGCTATGTTCTCTGTGATAATGCAACATCCCTGCCAAAAGCAACTGTTGAATTTCTAGTTTTGCAGGCTTTATATGATGTTCTTGTTTCAGACTTGGAGGGCATCACATCAGAATACCAAACCAAGAAGAAAACGGTTCTGGAGTCCCGTGCTTCCGTAGACAACTGTGCCAAAAACCTCTTCTCATCACCCGGTGCTAAACGCAGCTTCACCCGGCACCCCTCCCTCATTAAACTGGCCAAGAGCATTCAGGACGACCGCCGCAAAATCAACTCTGCCCCCACCAGTCCAGTGAAGAGCGCCCTCAGTGAGTTTCCTGCAGAGATCTTTTGTTGTAGCGTGTGTCTTTGGGTGGAGTCGTAAAACCTTTTCTTCTGTTGTCCTCAGGCGATTCATCAAACACTGACATCCCAAACAAAATGGCCCAACTTGCTGCTATTTGTCAGATCGAGCTTGACCAGGAGTCTCCGTAAGTTTTGATTTACAACCTTTACCAAAAAAAAAAAAACTTAAATATGCTTTAATACAGTGAGAAAGTTGTGGGTTTTTTGGAGTGTTAAAAAGCGCCCTGCCTCCTCCCCCAGGCCTGGAGCTTCAGACCCAAAGCCTGCTCCTACTGCTGCTGCTACAATGAAGCCTGAGGGGACCTCCTCTAGTCCAATGAAACCACCTCAGGCTCAGTTACTAACTTCCCCTCTGGAGCCCGGAGTCAACACTACTGTCCACCTCACCCCCAACACCCCGCTGGGAGCTTTACCTGCCGGCTCTGTCGCTTACATTCCTACTCGGTGCTCATCCATGATCCCCGTCCTGTTGCCTCAGCAGCGAGGGAGCGGGCCCTTCGCCGTGTATTTGCAAGCCCCCTCCCCCAGGCCAAACCCTCTGGCCAGGCCACAGCCGACCAGTCTCGCTGTGCGCTCCATGACCTTTGAGGATAAAACAGGGCAGAGTCCGACGGGTCAGTGTGCAGCCAAGAGCCAGCCAGCTTCCAGCAGAGCAGCAGATGTTAGCCCGTTAACGCTCAAACGAGTGCGCTCAGATTCAGCGTTAGAAAGCAGCCCCTCCAAAGCCAGGAGAAAAGACCCCAACTTTAAGGTAAAAATAAAAATATACTCATGTTACAGTCAGATTTTTATCAAAGGGATGTTTTGTTGTAGAGTATTTCTCACCCTTTTCTGTCTCTGTCTTTCAGGACACCTCCCCAAAGCTGTGTGAAATCCTGCAGGCTCGTCTGAAGGCTCACCGCAGCTCCCAGCTCACGAGTCGGCCCTCACCTCGCGCCTTACACCTGGACCCAGAGTTTGTCAACACCCCAGGCGCTCCGGCAGCTTCTCAGACACTTGGGCAGAGCGTGGAAACTTTCCTGGACAGAGAAGACAAGACTGCAAACTCCGACAGCGAGGCGGGATTAACACCTATCAGGGCTGTGCCTCTCACACCGGGACAACTCCACACTGAGGTAAACAAAGACATCACTACTTTGTTATTCAAATTAATCCCACAGCAGTTTGTGTGACTTTTATTTCTCTCTCTGTTTAGACTTTAGTACCAGCTGGTTACCTGATTCCAATTTCCCAGCAGTCCCTCATTGGCTACAAGGAAATGCAGAGTTCAGGGAGAGAAAACAACAAGGCCGCAACTCCAACTTACAACATCTACCATACACCGACAGCAGGTATATTTGTCAGGAAACTGTTCTGTCTAAATGTTTTATCTCCATCATCTCATTTTAAATCTCTTTTTGTTGTTTTTTAGTCCTTTCATTTGAGGATAAAGTTTAAATAGAGCAGAATTAGTAAAAACCTCTTTGGAAATACGTTTTTGAGTCACTACTTATTTTCTTTCCTTCAGGTTCCAGACCCACCCTAGCTCAGGAGATGACACCCACCAACCTTCGTCTCCACAAACCCGCCGCTGTCGCCTCACCTCAGGCCATCCAGCAGGCCCGCCGCCTCCAGAGCCCCAGCCCCGCCATCATCAATTTCACCCTGCAGAACCTTGGTCTGATCTCGAGTTCCAGCCCTGGAAACACCGCCGGCGACCCCCAGACTTCAGAGAGCGCCGACACTATTACTAGCCCTCTCAGTCTGCCGCAGAGAGGGATGGTTTTCATCAAACCTGTGTCACCGCTGTCTGTCCAACAGCCTGCAACAGGGCAACCTCTGACTCTGATCAGTCTGCAGCAGGTACTAAATACACAAAAACACAGCCTGTGTTACGTGCTGACCTGATTAGAAGATGAGCTACTAACTTTTTAATCATCCATCCTTCCAGCCTCTGATGACCACCCCTAAAGGGACCGGGCTCCCCCAGACGAGCTTCTTCCACACCCCAGTCCCCCTCTCCCCTCTGGCTGCCATGGTAACCACCAGTGGACACGTGGCCACCAAAACTGTTTACATCCCTCAGAGGAAGCTTGACGTCACGCCTGAGGACTCCTGTAACCCCTGACGACACTCCCCCCTCATGTCTGTGTTCTCAGTGTATGTGTGTGGGTGGGTGAGTGTGTTTAGTATTTTACAGTCCTCATTACCTCTGAACATTTCATAGCAGGGGCCTCACTGTCGTCATTATCGTTACAGCCAGCTCTATTATTAGCTGCCATGCAGACTTCGACTGTGCCCAGTGGACACATGGAGATGAGATTTCAAACAAACTTCAGCAGGACCCCTTTTAAAACTGTTGTGACGCTGATGCAACAGGGAAAAAAAACGGCATTATTGTATTTAGCTCATTGATTATTTTTTTCCCCCTTTCATTGTTTATTAGACTTTTAATTTCCTGTTAATCTGGGTAAGGTGAACACACATTTAACTATCAAATTAGAAGTCACTTAAGTGGCTCAACAGTTAGCGAGTTTGATTGGAAACATGGTTGATTATTTTGTCTCTGAGTTCGAGGAGACTTTTGCACAAATGTAAATGATTAACTGTTACCCATGGAAATGTTTTTTTTAAAAAGTGTCAATATTTTTAACTCATTTTAAAACTAATCTGATTTTTTTTTTGTTAATTTATAAAAAAATTAATTGCTGATGTCCTGCTCGATGTAAAATGCTCAATGAGTTTCAATACACGTTTTCTAAGAACATCGTCTGTCTGTGTTGTGGTTGGTTCATCTCTTTAACTGTGGGATTGTATTTGCTCCTTTGAAGGACAATTCTTCAAATTTGTAGGTTATCTCTAAAACATGTTCAATTAAATATTTAAATTGGTGGTCGACATTTTCAACCAAAATTGGACTGATTGGAGGGGGGGGTTCTCTGACGGCAAACTCTTTTGCGGCGTGGGACGACTCCAGTCAGTCTCCAGTGGGTTGGGCAAATCCAAAATGGGGAAAACAAGGGGGCTGTTCTGAGACAGGCTGTTACCTGTGAAACACCCCCATTAGCACTTGGTAAGTTCCTCTTGATGAAATTAAACACAGACTGTAAATTGATGTGGAAAAAAATCGAGTTGGCCAATCAGAACTTTGGTCTACTCAGCACATATTGACCAAAAAGTCGACTCGGACTTTACAGCCGTAAATATTTCTGTTTGTCATTTTAACTTAATGATAACCTTGTAAACGTGGCAGCAGTGGAAGAGGGTTCTAGAGTGTCAAGTATGGCAAAGACACAAGTAGCTGAAATGAAATGAGGGTTTTCAAAGACACCAGTTTGAGATAAGTAAAGATGAAGACGCTTCAAAATCAGCACAAAGCTCCTTCTTCATAGGCTAACAAAAATAGGGTTACATTAGGTTTTTTTCACTCAGTGTGTGTTTCCTTGAGCTCAAACATACACAGCAAATTCAACAGTGTTAAATTTCCAGTGTTGGTGTTAAATGTTAAAAATATGGTGTGAATTCAACACTTGCTTAGTTTAATTCAACTATGTGAGAGTTAATTCCTCAAAAGAGTTGGTGTTAATCCGGGGAGTAAGTGTTGATTTTAAATTAACACTTAAGATCAACTCTATTACGTGTTAACTTTAAAATCAACACTTAACAGAGTTTCTCCATAGACTGTTGATAGAACGGACAGTGTCTGCCTCCTCACTTTAAAAATTTATTACACAGAACATACATTTTTCTCCCCCCTGGTTGCGATGTTGACATGTAGTTACTGTAAGACTGGTTTGTGCTCAAGTCCTCTTTTTTTCTGTGCAGCTCCGTTTTTAAAAGTTATCAGGGGGTTCTTGTTTTCTATGATTGACACCTGATACAGCCTATGGGCGTTCAGGGATTGCGTAGCTCACCCGGGGGATACGCTGTTTGAGCCAAGCGTCATCACAGCGACTCTCGGCGACTGTGCGGCCGAATGCGCGCCTCGCTTCTGCGCAGCGCTGGTTTCAGGAAATGAAGAAAAATCGCGGAAATATCGAGAGCTATTTGGCTTCAAATCCGTATACAGGTGGTAGGCGGAACCAAGTTGTTCATATTACATACAGTCTATGATAGGGAGGATAAAGTTGGCCAGAGGGGGGCACTACAATCCTACTTCTAATAAATGTTATTTTCCTCAGTCATCTGTGGCAGGTTGAAGTGTCCTCTTTAGTGTATACATCTGTGTGTGAGCGCTGTATGTGTTGAATGGGGGGTGGGGAGGTTTAGTATTTGTATTTTTATTTATTTTATTTCATTGTTTTTTAATATCCTGAGCAAATGGACAACACTATGTGCTACATTTAATGTATGAAAAGTGCTTTAAAAAAAAAAGTTTGATTGATTGATTGATTGGTTTTAACTCGATTTAGTGTGGACCAATATAGACACTATAGACAGTGTTGAATTTTACTCCCTAGTAGTTGAATTAACACTTCTGAATTTACTGTTTATCTTGTTTACCACCGTGCTTATAAGCCTAAAGTTTTCCTCGACTCTGCTCTTAATGGTTATGTATTGCATCACCAGCATGTTAACATCACATACAGCTATGGCTATAAAAAACCCTGAGAATAAAGAAGCCTGAAAAGTCGAGAATGATGAGATTGTAATTGGACTACTGAGCCTTAAAACACGTCTAATGATGAAGCGCTGAGCTTTAAACGCAGAATGACGCCACTTTTACATCATAGAGGGTTAAATAGGATTGTTCCTTGGCCGACATTAAACTATTTAATGACCAAGAAGCCATGGTTACAACTCTGCACTTGGTTCAAATGTAGTGAATTCATGTAGGTCATTCTCAGACTTCTGATTAGAGAGGAAGCTCATGGTCTTATGTTAAAGTTGGGAGTAACCATCATGTTTTCCACTTTATGACAATCAGCCTTAAAAGCTTAGCTCTAATCAAGGGTCTGAGGCTACTATGAATTATCATCTAATTTTTGATTGGTTACCCCTGGAGACAGAAAAATGTTTACATAAATATCACCACAGAGAACTCGTCAACGTGCACAGATTTTAATTCAGATTTCAATTTTCCCAGCCCTACCTAAAACTCAACACCAATCATCCCGTTCCCCAGAAACCATCCCCAACCCATAAGACTATAAACTAAATTATCCCAAAGTAGGGTCCCAATCCAACCACACAAGTCCAGCAAATTTTTAAAAAATTGTCCACAACTCAAAAACAGAATAATCCATCAAAAAGGAAACTTGGAAATGCAAAATGGAAAAAAAGGAAAGGTAATCCAAAGGTGGGAGACTCACCGGTCCTTGAGACGCTCCCCCTGAACCCAACTTTAACCGTTCCACATCTCCCAGCAAAATGTTATGACAGGTTTTGAAGTTTACTGGCAGCTCAAGAGGCGTCCTTGGTTTCCTCACTCAAGATCAGACGCCTTGCTCTCCTCCACCATTCCTTCCTGGAACCAGCCATACATTTCCCTCCTGCTCCTCTATTGTTCTGCTTCTCCTCCCCTCCCCCTCTCCACACCTCAGTTCACCTGGCTGCAACAGGTCACCTGACCAGGCTGCCTGCAATTTAACCAACCCCCCCAATAACACAGACAGATGTGCCAAGGTGGGTTAGCTTGGGGATACCACTTTACAAGGATTTAACACACCCAATCCCAACTTGTGGTTTTGTCACAACTTTTTTACCACTTTACATTTTCTTGCCTGATAAGGAACGGAAACATCGAATATGAGATTCACAAAATGTCTAACCAGGATAAAATCAAGATACAAATTTCAGTTTACGGCCATATTTATTTGTTATAACAGTTTTAGCCAAAATATACTCTGACTTTATAAAGCTAACCAATATGCGGCCACAGAAATTCAGCGGCAGGGATCACTCAACAAAAGTTTGCGTATATTATTTAAATTGATTTGAACAGATGCAATAATCACATCTTCAATCGTGTGAGGGGTCACCTTTGTCATCACCTTACAGTTAACTTTAATTATGTCTAGATGTCACCAACAAATAATAAAATTTACCAAATTATAACATGTATTTTTACTTTTTGTGGCAGAAGAGGCATTTTTATGCATTTTTGTCCTATAAATACTGTAGATCTCTGGATTCGATGGTGGAAATGTCACAAGAGGTCTTAAAATGTCTTTTTTTGCAGTCAACAACTATAAAATATCTGGATTATAAAGGTCACTCTCAAGGAAAAGAAAAAATCCAGAAAAGTTCAGGACAGAAATCTATTTTCTTACAGAAATATGATGTCAAAAATTATTTGTTGACAACTCAGCCACCTTTATTTGAGTTAATTATTGTTCATCTTATTTAAGTGAGTTATAAATAATCTTTAAAGTGCCACATTAACATTTTTGATCCCATCTCTAAGTATTCGCCTCATGGTGGGACAGTGTGCTAACATTTAACTGTGCAGTTGTCTGTTGCGTGCTCTAAGTTCCCGTCTTTAATGCGCATAATCCTGATACATACCGCCCTGATGCCTCCGTGCCTGCAGCTGCCTGATGGTGGGGTTAGTGATGGTTAGAGTTTCCTGTGTCCGTCCGTCTGTGAGTCCAGAACAAATGTGTGAGAGGCTGATGTTCAGGCCTCTTTCAGCCGGTGATGAAGGGTCAGAGGGCTCCGCTCCGTCACAAGTTATTTTAGGGGGATAGTTTCACTGGAGCGTCACTGATGGAGCGTGGTGATGCGGAGATGGATGGTATTTAAGCGGCCTGGGAGCGTTCACTGCCACATTTTCTGTCAAAGCACAAAGGCGCAGGTACAAGGTAAGGACTCACTCACTTTGCTTTAAAGTCTCCTCTTATATTTGAGTGAAATAATTCAACATAAATGCCATTTTAGATCAGGGTTTTTATCCTCATCATGCTTCCCCAGTGGAATAACTCTGAATTCATCAAGCGTTTTGTCTGCTTAACATGAACACAAACATCAGGAGTGAGATTTCCAATCCGTGGTGTTGAAATTCAGACATTTCCAGTAATGTCTGATGGATCAGGAGCCCGGCTTTTGTCTGTCTGGTGTCCCCATGAAGCCTCTATTCTTGGATCCATCACATACCAGTGCTGTGAGGTGGCTGGCAGACTGATATGACAGGAAACAGGAATGTCAGGCGGGGCAGCTCGTACACATCTACAGGCGTGAAGTGAAGCTGGCAGATGAAGTGAGGACACCTGAGTCCAAGTCGATGTCCCACAGCACTTAAACCAACCCAAGTTTTAGTCTCTATCGTAGTCCTTGAGGTGTTACTTCTTCATCTGGACTAAATCTTAATTTTAAAGCATCTTTGTGTCTTTAAGATGCCAAACTGGGGAGGAGGTGCCAAGTGTGCGGCCTGTGAGAAGACGGTGTATCATGCAGAGGAGATCCAGTGTAACGGGAGGAGCTTCCATAAGACCTGCTTCATCTGCAGTGAGCACGCTGACGTGTCTTCTTCTCCTCTTCCTGTCTGTGTTGCTCCTTTTTCTTGCTCCATTTACTGCCAGTTATTTTCCCTCACTTTTGTCTGTCATCTTGCCTCTTCACCTGCTGTTGTCATTTAATCATTCTGAGTGTTTTCATGGTTCTGCCTGGTTTATTTTTCCTGTTGGGTCTTAGTGTTTCTAACCTGACTTCTTCCTTTCTCTACTTTTTGCTTCTCTCCATCTATCTTTTTCTTTCTTTCATCCTTGCTGTCTGTATTGTCTCTTCATTGTTTGCTTTCTTGCCCTCTTTCTGTCCATCCTTCCTTCTTCCCTTCCACTTCCACTCTCTTTGTTGGAGGTTAACCTGCACTGACCACTGTCTCTCAGCTGTATCTCTGAAGTCCCCTTCACTCCTGCGCTGTTTGCTCATTGGTCACTCTCTGACTTTTCCACTCTCCTCTTCTGCTTTGTCTCCGTGTCCTGACCTGAATTTAAGTTGTGGTCATGTTGACAAACAGCCATGGTTCATTAGGCCATGACCAGCTCTCTAAACCCCTCGCTCTCTAATCCAGGAAAGCACAGAGTGGACACCTCATACAGGCTTACTGTCCTCTGAACAAACACAAACACTTTCCAGTTGGATGACCTGCTGACGGTTCCAGAGGGAGCTCTGAAAGGCCGCTGAGATAAGCTCATCCATCTGTAGCTGTTCGTCTTTTCTCCAACATTTAGCTCACCCTCTCCTCTCTCCCTATAAATAGAAACACAAGACATGACACAGGACATCTGGCTAAGTGTAATGTCAGTGTTGACTGATATAAACAGGGAGGTGGGAGCTTAATTTAACTCCATTACTCCACCATGGCACTTCACTTGAACTTACCAGTTCACCTAACCATTGGATCTGACTGGGGGTTCGATTGTGCGCTGTTCAATTAGTGCCAAAATAGAGATAAGAAGAACTTTGCTGATTATATTAAATAAAGTCTAACATGCTCTGATTTTGTTGACTAAACTTTTACTTAATTTTTCATGAGTAGATGATACGATACAAAAGAACTTTTTTGTTTGTCTGAAGTCTCTACTCATCTACTATTTGTCGAGGAATTAAAAAGTTTGATGGCTGTGGGACCAAAAGATCTTCTGAATCTCCTCATCCTTCAGCAAAAAGAGAGGAGCCGTCCACCGCTGTTGTTTGTTTTAAACAGGATGTTGAGCCTTTATAATCTTAGTGATTGTTTCATGGAGAACATCACATGGAACTTCAGCCGTTGCCTCGCATGGGATGTATACAAGTATTGTATGATATGACTTAATTTTCTTGGGACATAATATGGCGGAAGAGCAACTGCCAACAGTTCAATATCTGGACAACACAACTTCTCCTTGACAGCAATGACTTGACAGCCAGACCCCCGCCTTTCTATTTGCCTCTAGTTTTAGCATCTCTGTCTGATCTTATAAGAGTCAAGCCTGGTAGATCCACACTGGAGTGGTTCTTTGTTTTGGTCATTACTGAGCTTTTACATGCCAAGAGATGCATTGAGGGGCAGATGATGGGAGTGTAAGCTGAGCTACCCCTAAATGAGATTTAGGCTCTGTTATGGGCCCTGATTTAAAACCACAGCAAGGATTTGTATGGTCTTTATCGGGCATCAAGTTTTTATAGATATTTAGTCTCATAAAAATGCTAAAATATGTTTCTTTTTTCATTCATCTGTGAGGATAAGATGGTGGTACCAGTACTCTCTTGGTTCATTTTTTTGGTGATCAGAATCAGCAAATCATTAGTTTTATTTTCTCAATTTCTAAAGTGAATGAAACATGTCTCTTCAGTCCTTTTGGAGCTAGACAGATGCTGCTGTCATCTTCTTTCCAACTAAACTCTCTATTTGTCAGATTTGTATTAATTAGATGTCATTCCGCAGAGGAAACAGATGTTTGTTTTTTTGGGGTGATATTATGAATCAAGAAGAGACATTGCGGTATGGACAGGACAAGAGAGGGTACTAGCAGCTGGTAAGAAGGTAGTAGGTGAAAAGGTCAAATTTAGAAGTGGCGAATACTGTAGTGTATTTTGATTCTTTTTTGTCTTTGTTTGTTATTCTTCTCGTCTTGTTCTAACCGAAGTACATTTTAAGATCAAACCCTGTATAAGTATGTTATTTTCCTCCATTTCTGCCCTACAGTGACCTGCAGAAAAGGTCTGGACAGCACCACAGTTGCAGCTCATGAATCTGAGATCTACTGCAAGTCCTGCTACGGCAAGAAATACGGGCCAAAAGGCTACGGATATGGACAGGGAGCTGGAGCTCTGAGCTCTGATCCTCCGGGACAGAATGATCTGCAGAATCAAGAGTATGTATGAAGCCTTCAGTTTCGGATTCCAGATCACAAATGGTGGCTTTTTGCTCTCTTTTTTCAGTTTTTTGTAAATTGATCATTTTGGAGGTTGGGATGAATTGATTAAGCCCGTCTATCTTTCAAAGCCACATAACTCGACCCCCTACACAATGAGAGTCAAATAGAAGAGAAATAAAGATGTTAAAGGACATTTTCTCATGACTTTTCAACAGATCCAAACCACGCCAAACCTCATCCAGCTCCAACAGCAGCAAAGTCTCACAGAAGTTTGGGAGCTCTGACCGCTGTCCTCGCTGCTCCAAAGCCGTCTACGCAGCAGAGAAGGTGATGGGGGCAGGAAAGGTAAGAACTGACTGACTTACTCTGCCGGGTTTTATTCTGGGTTTTTGTAACTTTTGTTTCCACTGAGTTTGTTCTTTGTAAAAGTTAGTTATCTCCACTTTTTTTTATTATCATTATAAGATGTACTTTCTGTGTTTTTGTGTTGCTAAGCCTTGGCATAAGACCTGTTTCCGCTGCCTGAAGTGTGGTAAAAGCCTGGAGTCGACGACGGTGACTGATAAGGATGGAGAGCTGTACTGTAAAGGTACATAATAAACCGCACGCAACACAAGAGCACACAATCACTCGTACTTCTATACCTGTGTGTAGTTTTTCAGCTCTAAATTTAACCTAAATCAAATCCTACTCTTGGTTTTAACATCAAATACAATTTTAAGGCTCTACTAAAAAGAGATCATAACTCAGATTTGTCCCTGGATGATTAGCCGTAGAAAATTTTATGTCATAAACACGGAAGTCATATTTGACATGCTGTCTGTGAGTGACACAGCTCTGTTTCTGAATTCCTCTCCAGTCTGTTACGCCAAGAACTTCGGCCCTAAAGGATTCGGTCTGGGCAACGAGGCCATGCTGGAGGAACGACAGTGAACGCCTCTGACTGGTGCTTTAACGCTGGATTATGTTTGTACGACTTGATAGACGCCGTTTAGGCTTTAAAATGCTGGCAAGGAAATCAATATATATAATGTTACAAAATTAAAGTATTTTATTACCTTCAACTGTTTCTGAATTTACTAATTTTCCCACAAAGTTTTGAGAAACAGGCTTCCTCAGAAATAAATACAAACTGGTAAGTTAGTTATTTGAAAAGTTCCATATTATGCAAAATTCACTTTAGAATGGTAACAGTAAGATTAGGGTGACCATATTCTGACTTTCCAAAAAGAGGACACGACTACGTGGGGGCGGAGTCACGGAGTCGCATGAAGTTACTTTTAAGAGTTTTTTGGATCGGATCAAGTGTGCGCTTCTCACTCAGTAAGTCCACGTGACACAATCTCACAACTTCCGGCGGAACCAAGTTTTCCATATTATGTACAGTCTGTGGCCATACTTAGCACTCTGTGTAAACATTAGCGCATAATACCGTAACGCAAGCCACGCCCTTCTCTTCCAGAGAGACAGGGAGGGGTGCGGCATGCGCTGAAGAAGGCGTGGACAGGTGCCGCACACAGAAACAGTAAAAGTAGTAGCAGTCTCAGTAGAGTTCACTAGAGAGAGTTTTCACGCTGGCTGAATTCCAGAAAAAAAAATGGGTGACAACAAACTTCAAACTGACTGTTCTAGGACCTCTGAGACCTACATGAACCTGCAGAAAAGGAGCTGTAAGACATGGCTGACTTTGGGTTGTCCTGTAATTAAAGTATTTATTTTAATCCGATGGTTTAAACAACAAAGCAGCTCATCAAAGAAGTTAAAATCATTCACTGCACGGTTTCTTTTCGCTGTGCCTCATCATGTCAAAGCTGATTATTTCAAAGAGTCTTATTTGTATTCATAAATTATTCAGCAGAGTAATTAATGAGTCCAATCACGGTAACAAGTGATTCATAAATACATGGTGTTAGCTCATCCCAAATAATTGAGCGTTCATGCAGAGTGAGTTTGGATTAGATGTTTTTTTGTTTAATTGAAATTGGAGCTGTTATCTCACATGATTAAATAAGGAGAATAAAGTCAACACTGACGGAGTATGAGGAGAAACCTGAAGACACGGTGTAATCATGGCATCCTTAAAACAATAACACTGTGAAAGGTTTTTATTTGGCTGCTTAAATCCAAAACTCAGTGATCAGTCTTTAATCCTGCTTCCTTACTTGTGATTTAGAAAAACAAATTTGGCAGATTTTGCTAATTATTTACTAGCAGGTCCTCTTCTAAAGGTTATTCAGACTGGAGAAGCGGCGGGCTGCCACCTCTTTTCATTTCTCAGACATCTTTGGGACTCCTCTCGCTCGGTTTGGCAGAAGATAGAAAGAAACTGTCAATCATGTGCAGAGTCACCCATTTCTCACCCTGAAACTTGTCAGCCTCCTGCAGCTGGATCAGGAGCAGATATTTGTGAGCATGCATGTCCAAAGTCTGTTTACATCTCTACAGAAAAAAGGTTCTCAATCTGCTTTACTTTACATCAAAGCTGTTCGTGGAGTTGTCGGCCGACTGTTAGTCCATTACCTTGTTTCATAACTTCTTGTTTTAGTAATTATCGCTCATTTTTCAAGCAGATTCCATAAAATATGACCTGCGAATCTTGTTTTCCGCAAATAGGATTGAGGAAAGGGACAAAGTGGAACAAAGCAGTAAAGATCGGGGCTGCTGGGTTCGGATCTTTCATCCTCCAGCTGCTGTAAACTCAGCTATGCAGTAACCGTGTTGTGAAAGGATTTTGCAAGAGTGAAGTCAGAGGAACAGACTCCTTTTGAAAAGCAACATCTCGTTTGTGCGCTCTTGTTCGGAGAGTTTCACTGTGCAATAATTCTGCTTCTGGTGATTCTGTTGTCCTACAGCCTCATGTGTCCACACCAAACCACCCAAAAGACAGGCACAACATTGCTTTATTGACACATTATAGTGGTCATCCATTGTTAAACACATGCAGCTCTTACAAAAGTCATAAACCATAAACTGTGTACATATACAAAGACTTCTTTCCCAGAACAGATGATAAAAAATAGGCTTGTGTTCATATAAAACATCTCAGAACTTCAATTACAATTCAGGCCTTTAATGGTTTACCAACCTTACCCAAATTAAAACATTTGTGATTCTGAAGTCACTCACATTGGTCAAGTATAAGGCAGCAGCAGTCTGTACAAAGAGCAACTGATTCAAATGATATCTACACATTCGTTTTTTTGTGTTTCCCTTGATTCTCATGCCTCTCTTCACAAGGAGCCTTCCCTTTAAAAAAATAAATAAATACACTTTGTGCTTTTGGTCCAGAACCACTTCAAGAGTCTGACCCTTGACCCTGAGCGAGGGGTGGAGGGCAGGTCAGACCAGGTCGGTGTGTCCGAACATGTTCTGATCACGGCTCGGGGGAAACTGCTGCGTCCAGTCGATGATGGCCGGTTTGAAGAGGCCGCAGCAGCGCAGCTGGAAGAAGGAGACCAGGTTCCTCACCACGCCCAGACTGCAGAGAGGGGATCAGGGACGTATCAAGACCAGCTCAAAAATCAGGGGTTTGGTATCGTGGACCGACAGCATACAGTGTCATAACAGTATATAAAGAGGAATCCAGGACCTACCTTTAAGTACACTGTTCAGATTCTTATTCTCAAGAATTTCTCTTGATCAGAGGCATTAAATTCGTCCATTTTTATTAAAGATATTAAACATTAAACTGAATCAAACGTCTAAAGGTCTCTGCACTGTTATGTTATTCTTTATAATGAATAATTCCTTTCACGCTCACAGTAAACCTCCAGGAACAGGAAAATCAAACCTCTACCTTCAAGGTCTTGATTTTCATGCAAACACATTCATGCCTGAGGGATTTTCTCTCCAAGGTCAGGAAACTGATTTACAGTCGACGCCCTCAGAGACTGAATTTTGATTACAACTTCTCAGACAACTGATTGCCCTTTTGTCTCAGATAAGATTGATGTAAGAGATCAAGTTTTCTCTGTATCATAATCACAGCAGTCACCAACTTCAGAGAGATCAGTCCTCCAAGATTTGCTGATTTAAAATGGTTTATAGACGACAAGAAGAGTCGCAGCAAGATTTCAAAACTAGTATGTTATTATGTTTACAATCAAAGATAAATGTAATCTGATGCTAGGGTAAATAAGAACATTTAAAAACAACTTCATACAAACATGTAAAGGTCGTGCTCTGAACTGGTTTGAACTCACTTGTATGGGTTTTGTCTCAGAGAGGCAGATTTCCCTTGTTTCATCTGGTGGAGTGTCAGGTTGGTTCGCTCTGCTGTGGTCAATCCCAGGAAGGCAATCTGCTCCGACACCAAGGAAAAACATCAGTCCTCTCAAGGAAGTGTGTGTGTGTGTGTGTGTGTGTGTATAAACCCAGGAGATCAGCAGACAGTCAACAGGGAGAGATTGAACACACTGTCTCTATAGGTTCAGACTCCACAGACAGGTTTAGACTCTCAGGCCAGCCAAGAGTGTTTATTTTTGGGTATTTGGGATCATATAAGGACCAAAAAGCCAGGTGTGATTACGGTTGGACTGAAAATTTTATCAGAGAATCAAACAGGAACATAAAAAAGCAGTTTTTTAAAGATATGATATGTGGCATTATAATCCCAGAATAACCTTGGTTTTAATCTGTTAGAGCTGTTCAAAATCAGGAAACAGTCTCCACTGACCTGGTAGAGCTGCAGCAGCAGGACCAAACTAGACCAGCAGGTGTGATAGAAGGCCAGAATGAAGACACAGAGCACCCAGGGGGAGCAGCCAACCAGGGCGGAAACCACGCCCCACAGACCCTGCTCCTCGTAATGTAGAGTGCAGTGGGTCGACCAGTCTGTAACACACACACACAAAACACAGTCTGACATATATCCAGGAGAGATTAAACTGTGTGAAATACTGTTGTTATGCTGTTTGTTGAGTCACTCACATATGAGAGAACCGTAGAACATCCAGACGCCCATCATCATGAGGGAGAACAGGAAGAGGATGAAGTAGTGATGGTTCCTCGCACCTGGAAGCGAACAAATACACCTCATTAGGGATTAAGGATTGTCTTTGACTGTCTTTAAGACTCATAAGTGTGTGAGCTTGTATTTTAACACAAGTTAACTGCTACTGTAACATTTTACCTCCTTAAAAATCCAAAATATACATCCTAGGATGAATATCAGGTTTAACTTTTTCACTTTTATCCATGCATAGCTGATAGGTTTTAAGGTTTTATAGGTTATAGGTTTTGAAAAAAGCCACATTTGAACATATTCTCAGCTGTATTATGGCATCAATCTATCATTTTCAGCCCTGAGTAATAAACAAAAGAGGGATTTACTCACTTTAAACCCACAGAAACAGACCCATGACCAGTTACATACAAGAACATTTATGTGTTGAAATAAAACCGGACTGGTTAAATGAGTCTTTGCACATTTGTGACATATCCCTGTGTCTCATCACTGCATCTATTTTAATGTGAATCTAAGATAAAATGTTCCTTTAATAGTCCCACGGAGGGAAATTCCAAATTTACAGCAGCATAGTACTGATACAAAAAGAGAAAATTAAAGGATAAAGAAACTTAAGAGTTAAAAAAGAGATGTATATGAGTCATATTTACATGTTCACAGAGTATACATAATAATATGACTTATTGCACACTGAGGTTTGTGTTGTGGAGTCTGACAGCTGCAGGAAGGAATGACCTGCGATACCTCTCTGTCACACACGTTGGGTGGAGCATCCTGTCCCTTAAGGAGCTCCTCAAATCAAACATTTAATAAAGATTGTATGTTGTACCGATGCAGCAGTTGGTCCAGACGGAGTGGTGGTCCTGCTTGGCCACACAGGCGTCACAGCTGAAGCAGTGATTTGTCCTCATTGGTTTCTTAATCTACAAACAAAGCGGTAAAATTATGACCTGTTCTGACTGTGCGGTGATGGGACAATGTTCGATTTTGGGTTCACGACTCACCATGCAAGAAGTGCAGAATATTCTGGGCCCCAGACAGCCAGCTTCAGCCAACACCAGCACATTCTGACAACACGGGGAAACAAACTCCGCTCATTGCTGCTCAAACATTTTCAAATGTTAGATGACACAGTTTTTTTGTGAAGCGTTTCATGTCCCTCTCACCAGTTTCTTCTCCTCTTCAGTTGCTTTGACAAATCCGGGGTCTGTCCTGCAGGTGCGGAGGTAGTAGTAGAGCAGAGCAGTGGCATTCAGAGTAAACAGGACCTGAACTGTAGCGCTGGGTCCATGTGGGGGTCCAAGGTTAAGAAAGACTTCATTTTATGGCTTCACCAAAGAGATTAGATGAAAACATGATATTAGATAGAAAGCTTACTAAACAACAGTAATGTGATACACTCAAAGCCAAAGTCTCTCATGGTCGTTTTAAGGTACTCATGTCTATTTAGCCTGATGTAAATGTGGAATCAGTCTCCTCGTCTCAACAACAACCTTTCAGCAAAACAAGGCCTGCTTTAAATAAAACACTAACAAGAGTATCTGAGTAACTTATGACTGTTTTCTTTCCTGCAGAGAAAGGATATCTGGGAGGAACCAGAGGCACCAGGTGACCACCATCCAGAAGACCGAGGCCATGAGAGATGAGGCCGGGAGGAGGGACTGAAACTCCAGACTTGGGAAGTTCCTGTTTACGACGAAACAAATCTGATTAAAGGTGGGGTAGGCAGGAATCTGTTACAGAAGCATCTTTTTTTTGTGGTGTATATACAAAAAAGCTTTTAATATCATTGATAGTTACTAGTTATTGATGACATTTGGGAATATAACAATATCGCTGTGTTTTGTTATGTCTGTGTAGTCAACATTTTAAAGTTTTTGAGCGGCCCGCTCTTTCTGACTGTAAACAAAGCCGTTCTCTGCCTCCCCAACCTGATTGGTTGTAAGGCAGACGCTGCTCCCCTATGTCGTTCACGTACCCAAAGTTAACGTGCTACAGTATCGGACAGTAGAAACCAACCAGAAAGTACAGAAAATTGTCTGAATCCTCCTTTGGCCATGACTGCCAACACAAGCAAGAAAACGTAGTAAATACCAGAGACTCTGGCAGAATAACAGGCGTTTAAAAAGGAAGTAGACCGGACAAGAGCTAAAAAAAAAAGGTCAACAATGATGGGGACACTTCGGGATCTTGGTGACCCTGTAACCTTTCTGCTGGTCAGGTAAACCACTTAAACAAAATAAGCCAAGTGTCTGTAACAGAGGTGTTTCTTGTCAAACGGGACCTGCTGCGTGTTGTAGCGCTGCTAAACTGTTGACCTCAAGTCCTGCACCAATGCTTTTTACTTTCACCTTGACTGGGCCCCATCTGTAACTAGAAAATGCAATTTCTGAAGAAATTGCGAGTGGGATTGCTTCAGTTGAAATTGCTAGCGCTACGCTGCTATTGCGAATGGCTGAATTTTAAAATATGTGAAAGGTCAAAAGGTATGAAGTATCAGGAAGATTTGAATCAATTCAAATAAACTCTATTGAATGAATTGAATAATTCATTAATAAATTTTGAAAATTCAATGTGTGAAAGTTAAAATGATAAAAAACCCTGAAGCATGGGAAAGGCTTGAAGAGTCAATAAGGGTTGAATCAGTTCAAATGAGTTGGAATTTGTTTGAAAGAACTGAATAATGCATTAAGAGTAAAAAATGATTTAAAACTGGAAAATTATGAGGTTACAAATCTGGAAGAAAAAGAGGTTTGAAGAATCAAAACAGTTTAAATCAGTTTGAAGGAGTGTAAATTATTTGGAAGAGTTAAATAATGCATTTTCAATGAATGATTGAAAAAGGGGGGAAATATAAATGAATAAAAATCCTTATTAGACCCCAAAATGTCCTCAGTGAGCTGAATTTATTAAGCCCTGGATGGTTTCTGTAGCTCAAGGTTTGTGTGAAGAGATAGATGACAAAGTTCGTCAAATAACTCTACTGAAGGGTTTTAAATGTCACCCCCAGTACTCTGTGTACAGAGCCTGGCTTCATGTGTCTCATATGGCTGTTAGAAGCAGCTTTCCAGCCAGCTGTGTGTCTCCAGGTGCTCCCTTTGGTTGCCATGGTGACGATAGATGCTTAACAACAGCAGGAGAAAGGAGGCTTGAGGCTGAGAACGTAATGCCCAAACAACGTCATATTTCTCATCCTCTGTAACTGCTATCTTCATGATCAGGAGCTTGTGACAACCACAAGGCCTGGCTGAACACGTTGATACAACTTCGGTGTTTGTGGAGCCAAAAATGCCTTCGCTACGACAAGTTAAAAACATGTCCAGTTTGTGTTTCCTCTGAAAATCCTCCTCTCAGGTTTACATTGGAGTCAATGGAGAAAGCTGGAGAAATCTGGGGGATGTCTGCGGCAGTTGGTGTCTGCCCAGGCCACTGTGTGTGTCCTATGGCTTTGATTTTTTAGATGAAGAGTGACAGCGAGTTTTGCCATCACTGTACCAAATTTTATCTGTGTAGAGCGAAGTGAGTTGCCACAATCCTTTTGTAAAGACAAAGTTTTGAGGATCAATTTTCAGCCTGTCTCACTCTAGCTGTGAGGTCACCCACTCTAGCGGCCAACATTCCGTGCAATACACACTAATGTTAAAACCTGAACCGGTCAGAAAATCATGTGAATTTTTGAACTGTCACTGTGAGAAAAGTATGAATGCCATGAAGATGGTGAATGAATGAGTGAATGTCTGAAGATGTGTGAATATTTTAAAGTTTGAATGAAGTTTCTAGGTGACAGTATGAATGAATGAGAAGAGGTTGAAGTTGAGTACGTCTGAAAGCCTTTTCCCATTGAATCCCATTATAACGAAGTTTTAAACAAATCTTAATATTTTGAAAAGTACAAATGGGATTAAAAATGTTGAAGATGTGGAATAATGCTGACGAATTTGTGAATATTTTGGTTTTTGAATGAAGTTTCTACGTGGAAGTATAGAGGAGTTGAAGGCTTTTGAAGTTTGAAGCCAATTTGAACATTCCGTAATGCATTTCTAATGGGAGAAATCGGTCGGAAAACCTGGAATATCTCGGAAAGTATGAATGTTTGGAAATTTTTGAATACAAGCCGGAATCTCCTGAATGAGATGAATCTTTTGAAGTTTGAATGGTTTGAATACGTTGAAGTATGTGGAAGGAGTAGCGGTCCAAAAAACGGTGGAATAATAATAATAACTAGAAAATGCAATTTCTGAAGAAATTGCGAGTGGGATTGCTTCAGTTGAAATTGCTAGCGCTACGCTGCTATTGCGAATGGCTGAATTTTAAAATATGTGAAAGGTCAAAAAGTATGAAGTATCAGGAAGATTTGAATCAATTGGAATAAACTCAATTGAATGAATTGACTAAATCATTAATAAATTTTGAAAATTCAATGTGTGAAAGTTAAAATGATTAAAAACCCTGAAGCATGGGAAAGGCTTGAAGAGTCAATAAGGGTTGAATCAGTTCAAATGAGTTGGAATTTGTTTGAAAGAACTGAATAATGCATTAAGAGTAAAAAATGATTTAAAACTGGAAAATTAAAAGGTTACAAATCTGGAAGAAAAAGAGGTTTGAAGAATCAAAACGGTTTAAATCAGTTTGAAGGAGTGTAAATTAGTTGGAAGAGTTAAATAATGCATTTTCAATGAATGATTGAAAAAGGGGGAAATATAAATGAATAAAAATCCTTATTAGACCCCATAATGTCCTCAATGAGCTGAATTTATTGAGCCCTGGTTGGTTTCTGTAGCTCAAGGTTTGTGCCAAGAGATAGATGACAAATTTCGTCAAATAACTCTATTGAAGGGTTTTAAATTTAACCCCCAGTACTCTGTGTACTGAGCCTGGCTTCATGTGTCTCATATGGCTGTTAGAAGCAGCTTTCCAGCCAGCTGTGTGTCTCCAGGTGCTCTTATTGGTTGCCATGGTGACGATAGATGCTTAACAACAGCAGGAGAAAGGAGGCTTGAGGCTGAGAATGTAATGCCCAAACAACGTCATATTTCTCATCCTCTGTAACTGCTATCTTCATGATAATGAGCTTGTGAGAACCACAAGACCCGGCTGAACACGTTGATACAACTTCTGTGTCTGTGGAGCCAAAAATGCCTTCACTACGACGAGTTAAAAACATGTCCAGTTTGTGTTTCCTCTGAAAATCCTCCTCTCAGGTTTATATTGGAGTCAATGGAGAAAGCTGGAGAAATCTGGGGGATGTCTGCGGCAGTTGGTGTCTGCCCAGGCCACTGTGTGTGTCCTATGGCTTTGATTTTTGACATGAAGAGTGACAGCAAGTTTTGCCATCACTGTACCAATTTTTATCTGTGTAGAGCCAAGTGAGTTGCCACAATCCTTTTGTAAAGACAAAGTTTTGAGGATCAATTTTCAGCCTGTCTCACTCTAGCTGTGAGGTCACCCACTCTAGCTGCCAACATTCCGTGCAATACACACTAATGTTAAAACCTGAACAGGTCTGAAAATCTTTGGACTTTTTGAACTGTCACTGTGAGAAAAGTATGAATGCCATGAAGATGGTGAATGAATGAGTGAATGTCTGAAGATGTGTGAATATTTTAAAGTTTGAATGAAGTTTCTAGGTGAAAGTATGAATGAATGAGAAGAGGTTGAAGTTGACTACGTCTGAAGCCCTTTTCCCATTGAATCCCATTATAACGAAGTTTTAAACAAATCTTAATATTTTGAAAAGTACAAATGGGATTAAAAATGTTGAAGATGTGGAATAATGCTGACGAATTTGTGAATATTTTGGTTTTTGAATGAAGTTTCTACGTGGAAGTATAGAGGAGTTGAAGGCTTTTGAAGTTGTGTGAAGAAAATGTGAGAAAAGGGCCAATTTGAACATTCCGTAATGCATTTCCAATGGGAGAAATCGGTCGGAAAACCTGGAATATCTCGGAAAGTATGAATGTTAGGAAATTTTTGAATACAAGCCGGAATCTCCTGAATGAGACGAATCTTTTGAAGTTTGAATGGTTTGAATACGTTGAAGTATGTGGAAGGAGAAGCGGTCCAAAAAACGGTGGAAGAATAATAATAATAAAGATATGAATAACATATAGTGGGAATGCTTCGCAATCCCACTCAACTAGAAAATGCAATTTCTGAAGAAATTGCGAGTGGGATTGCTTCAGTTGAAATCGCTATCGCTACGCTGCTATTGCGAATCGCTGAATTTTGAAAATATGTGAAAGATAAGAAGGTTTGAATTATCAGGAAGATTTGAATCAACTTGAATAAACACATTGAATGAATTGAATAATGCATGAATAACAATTTTTTTTAAAAATGTGAAAATAAAAATGTTCAAAAACCCTGAAGTATGGGAAAGGCTTGAAGGATCAGAAAGGTTTGAATCAGTTTAAATGAGCTGAAATTCGTTTGAAAAAATTTAATAATGAAGCAATAATGAAAATGATTTAAAACGGGAAAATTAAAATGATTTAAAATCCGGAAGTATGACAGGTATGAAAATTAAGGAAGGTTTGAATCAGTTAAAATGAGTTGGAATTAGTTTCAAGAATTTGATAATGCATGAATAGTGTAAATGATTAAAACAGGTAAAATTAAAATGATCATAATCTGGAAGTATGAGTGCTTTGAAGATTCAGAAAGGTTTGAATCCGTTTGAATGAGTTTCAATGAGTTTAAAGAATAAAACAATGCATACTCAATGAGTGATTGAAAAATTGGGAAAATTCAAATTAATAAAAATCCTGATTAGACCCCATAATGTCCACAAGTCCCGGCTGAACAAGTTGATACAATTTCTGTGTTTGTGGAGCCAAAAATGTCTTCATTGTTATCACTAGGACAAGTTACATGCCAAGTTTGTGTGTAGTCTGAAAATCCTCCGCAGGATTCAACCGACGTGTCTGTGCATTACATGACGGTGGGAAATTTTAATTCTCAAATCGTCATGTAGGAGTCATCCATCGTATATTTGCATAATATTTGCTCCTTACCGTTTTCACACACACACACACACACACACACACACACACACACACACACACACACACACACACACACACACACATAAAAACCTCTCTCTGTCGAAATTCCGACTGTCCTTGAATGCACCTCGACTACCAACGGTGGACGTGACGCTATTTAATTACTTCTGACTCCTGACTTTGAGGTAAGCGGCTGCATCTCTTTCACTTCTCCCCAAATAATGTTTAATTCGCCGGTTTAGCACACCGAGTTAGTGTTCAAACTCCCGGAAACTAATGTGATAAGTCTCATTTAGTTTTCACATTACAGAAAGCCGTAGCAAAGTCCGTGTGAGATTAATTACACCTGTTTCGCCAAAGCTAACTGTAATGAAACTTACAGCCACCGCAACTGATAACGGTCGACGACGATTAACAGAGAAAGTCGCAGTCTCTTCTCCCCTAAATATTAAAACCTGCCGTTTTATTCTCTCTCTCTCTGTGATGCTGTGGCATAATTGTGATATTGTTATAATAAAAGGGAAAAAATTAAACTGTCACGGTCTTAACATCAACCAACAGTCAGCTAACTGCTGGCTAATTAGAGTCCATGCTCCGTGACTCTAACCGTTAATATATTTTCATGGTTGTATGAACAATTAACTGTCAGCTCTGAGCAAATTCTCAGATTTCCATAACACGAACATCCTTAGCAAGCGCAGTTGCCTCCTTTGCTCTAATGTTAATGTCTACCTTACTGGTTGGTTAGTCACTTTAGCTGTTTAGTCAGCAATAGTGCTGACTTAGGCAAGTGAGCTTTTTAAGAGAGTGAAATGTCAATATCTGACATTAGTCAGCTCTTGGCTGTATAGACCATTTTATGAGCAGCCTTTTTGACATGAAATGATCATTAAAACCACCTGTAGGTAATAATGTGTCAAAGGTACAGGGTCTTAATTAATAAAACTGTAACACCTGTGTCAGCTTCAAACCAGAATGGATGCTGTGTGATCTGATTTGTTCAAATTATTAATAAAGTGAGAGTTCTTGTTTGTGGTGTGAACTGTGCAGGTGAAATGCATAATGCATTGTACAGCTTAGAGCACACAAAATTTTTCCAGCCTTTTAGAGAGAGACAGAGAAGAGGACACTAACATGCTGTCTTCTCTTTTAGACGGAGAGAGGTTCCAGCGCATGTTTGGTGAGTACCTGATATTAAAATCTAAAGTGAAATTGACAGAAGAGTTGAGCACTCTGAGTATGGATGAAAAAATCGTTGACTTTTTAAGTTGATCATTTGGGTATAAAAATTAACTCTGTGTGTGAGCGCTTCCAGCCCAAGGGCACATAAGGTCCCCTAGCATGCACAGCAATTCTGAAACCAAGCGGATTTACTTTTGAGAGAGAACCAGCTGCTTTGTCAAACTTGTACAATATCATAGCATATTAACCTGATTTGTAATATGTACTAAACTGAGCACCGCGCAGTCTTTACCTTGAAATAAGAGATGCAGAGAGCAGTTACTAGCCCATCATGTTTAATAGCATATGAGCTTGAGTTTAGGCTTAAAAAATGTCAACCTAGTCACATAGATGAACACAGCTAAATGTAGTAATTATTGTAAATCTCGTATGGTATAATTCTGCAAAAGGTAACGATGATTTTTCTTTTTTGTGGTCCTTGGTCTGCAGAAGAGTACCAGTTTCCAGGTTCCAGTGGATCGTCCTGTTTGTCCCTCCCCTAACCCCCAACCCCTCTATCATCCGTCCTGCTCTGTCTGTTGTCTCTGCCTTCTTTCTCTCTCCCTAAGTTTCATCTCTCAGGTTGGTTGATACTCCCAACCTATTACAGACGCTTGGTTGATACTCCCAAGCACCCCTTGAACACGTCTGGTTGATACTCCCAGGCACCCCTTGAACACGTCTGGTTGATACTCCCAGGCACCCCTTGAACACGTCTGGTTGATATTCCCAGGCACCACTCACACACACTTGGTTGATACTCCCAAGCACCTTTGAAAGAAATCTCTGGGTTTGTTCTCCCAATTATCTTTGTCAAAGCTTACTTGGTTGATATTTCTAAGTAGCTTTTAAAAAGCTAAATTGGTTGATACTCCCAAGTGTCTTTGATAAAACTGACTTTGTTGATACACTGAGGCATTTTTCAAGAAAACTTAATTGGTAGATACAGACAGACAGCATTTGAAAAACTCAATTGGTTGTTACTCCCAAGTATCTGCTGCCACCACAACTACCACTACCACTACTACTACTACTACTACTACTACTACTACTACAACTACAACTACTGCTACCACTACTACTACCAACAGACTACGACTGATTGTTTCCAGGAACAATGCCACGCAAAGGAAAGAGATCCCAAGCCAAAAAGCTACACTGGCAGAAATTTCCTGAGTCCCGAGTACCTGATCAACGGGTGGTGAGTCCTCATCCTTACAACAGCGGACAGGTAAATACCCCTGATTTTTCTAATGCTAATGTCACACGTGTGTTGGCTTCCCGCAGTCAGGGGCATGATACATACGCTGATTCAAAGAACAGTCAATGCTCCTGCAACTGTGCTACTTTCCTGGCCTTTCTGCATGAGTTAGGACAACTCCACACTGCTGATCTTGATCTCGTTTTGGACAGAGGCCATGCAATGTATGCTCTAACTCTCGGTCAGTTGGATGTTGATGGTCAAAAAGTTGATAGATTCTTAAATATAGATGAACTTCCACCAATCATTGTTGGTGACAGACAACAGCACATAATGACAAAGTGTCAGTCAGTCAGTGGCGTCTTTACAGCTCCTACCTTGCTAAACAACAACCTTGCAGATGTACTTCAGTGCTTGTCCGCAGAGGTGAACTACGCATTGTTGATAATGAGTTCAATGTACATTGCTGTTTTCCGAGACCAACGCGGGCAGTATGGCTATTTTGACCCACACTCTCGACAGCCTGATGGCTTTCCTGCTGGCTTTGGTTGTGGCACAGCTGTCGTCTTTATTTTCACATATTTAAATGATCTGATCACAAAGCTTGTGACGTTATTCCGTGCAGTTGGCTCCGGTCCAAATTCTTATTTTGAGCTGACACCTGTGCTCTTTGAGACTGTGGATGAGCCCTCAGTGGAAGGAAATTTGCCACATATGGAGTCGAATGCAGATGATGTTCCCATAGCGAGGCAGCAAGAACCTCACATGTCCAGTCTACCCCAGGCGAAATCTGAGATTAAAATACAATTTAACAGTCACACTCTGCCAAGAGAGTCAAAACGTAATAAACAGGAAAGGAGGAAGTTGAAAAGAAGAGCTCAAAAGGGGAAGACAAAAGTTGCAATCGACAAAAATGAAAAACAGCGAGAACGATATGCCAAGGACAGATCATACCAGCAACGTAAAAAGTCTTATATGGCTAATCGGTACAGGCAGGATCCAGAGGTCAAACAGAGGAAGAAGTCCTACATCAAACGTCGCTACAAAAATGACACAGAGTTTAAACAGAAACAAAGGTCTTACATCAACCGCCGATACGCAGATGATGCAGAGTTTAAAGGGAAACAAAGGTCTTACATCAACCGCCGATACGCAGATGATGCAGAGTTTAAACAGAGACAAATGTTGTACATAACACACCGCTATTGCCAGGACTTTGCATTCAGAACCAAACAAAGGCAGTTTATCATAAAGCGTTACGCAAATGATCCTGCATTCAGAATGAGGCACAAACAAACTATGAGACAGCTAATGAGAGACAAATACAGAAACAACCTTGTAACCAGACTGACCAACAGCATGCGTTGTGCAATTAAGATTAGACAAAAATACAGACATTTAAACAGAAAGCAAATCGACATGGATGACAGTCAGATTAAAGAAGCCATAGAGATTTTCAGATCACATGTAAAAGATGGACCCACTTATGTCTGCACAGTTTGTCACAGAGCACTGTTTCCGAATCAAGTGCGACCCTGCAATCGGTCAAAATATGACAAAGAGCCACATGTTGTTGCAGCTTGTCTCACTGGTGCATATGTTCATGTCTGCAGTGATGAATGCGAAAATTTACAACAGTGCCCCGTACCAGAGGAGCGAAAGAGAGAGTGGATTTGTTACACATGCCATGATCACCTTAAGGTTGGTGGGATGCCTCCCCTCGCAACGGCTAATAATTTACAGCTTGCTGATATTCCAGATGAACTGTGTGATTTGAACATTTTGGAACGTCATCTTGTAGCTAAAAGCATACCGTTTGCTAAAATTATTCCACTGCCCAAAGGTCAACAAAGAGCTATCCGTGGAAATGTTGTGTGTGTTCCATCTGAAGTACAGGAAACTGTAAATGCTTTGCCCAGACTAAGGAGTGAATCTCAGGTCATGAGAGTGAAGCTGAAGAGACGACTGTGCTACAAAGGTCATCAGCTGTTCCAAACTGTGACCTGGCCAAAGCTGGTGAGAGCTCTGCTCAAACTGAAAGAAATCCATCCCCAGTATAAAGACATAACAATCAGAGATGAAGCTGAGTCATGTGACCCTACTCTCCCTGATAATGAAGACAGCGACAGTGATGAGGATGACGGAATGGATGATGATGATTACGATGAGGAAGATTTGATGGAGATTGACCGTATTGAGAAAAATGCACTCTGTGAGGCAGAAAGCATTCCCGAAAACGACGAACAACATATGGAAAATCAGTCAGGTAATAATGGCTGTGAGCCAGAGAAACAGTCTGATAACTTGGAGGGTGATGAACCAAACGGTGGTGTTGTCCTTGAATCATGTCTGCAGCCAAGTGATGTGTCAGAGGAGATTTTGAGTTTTAGTGAGGGAATATACTCTGTTGCCCCCGCTGAAGGAAAAAAACCGTCAAGCTTTTTCAGAACACCTAAACTTGAGGCGATGGCTTTCCCAGTTCAGTTTCCCACTGGTGAAAATACACTGGATGATAACAGGCCACTGAAATTAACACCCTGCAGTTACTTCAAAACGAGGCTTTGCTGTGTCGATGGCCGTTTCGCTAAAGATACTAACTACTTGTTTTTTGCTCAATTTGTGACAGAAATACATATGGCCACTTCCAGCATGAGAATACAACTGCGCAAAGGCAAACCGCTTACTCGAGATGGCCGCAAAATCACAAGTGCCATGTTGCAAAACAAACGAGAAGTCGAAAGGCTAGTGCGGAACAAAGATGCAATAAGATTCATGACACCGCTGAGAGGCACCCCGGCGTATTGGCAGAAAACAACCAAAGACTTGTTTGCGATGATTCGGGCTTTAGGCTCGCCACAATTCTTCCTAACTTTCAGTGCTGCAGAAATGCGTTGGAAATGGGTTATCACAGCAATTAAAGCCCAGCAAGGTGAACACGTGAATTTTGAAGAGCTGGATTGGTCCTCCAAGTGTGAGATTTTGCGAAGTAATCCTGTCACCACAATGCGCATGTTTGACAAACGTGTCGAGGCACTGTTCAGAGATCTGATCCTGTCCCCCGCACAACCTATCGGCAAAGTCGTCGACTACTTTTACCGGCTCGAGTTTCAGCACAGAGGAAGCCCACACATTCACGGTATGGTATGGGTGGCAGGCGCACCTGTGTTTGAAGAATGCTCTGATGAGGAGGTGTGTAAGTTTGTGGCCAGATTCATCAAAGCTGAGCTGCCCGATGAAAACAAGGACCCAGAACTGTACAAAATAGTCACAGAAGTTCAGATGCACAGCAAAAATCACTCCAAGACATGTGTGAAATACAGTGGTGCAAACTGTCGTTTCGGATTTCCCAAACAACCTGTCCCAGAAACCACAATAATCAGACCGGGGGCAATTGTGGATGAAGCAACAGACCTGGCATTGACAGAAAAGCTAGCAACACTGAACAGGCTTCTTCATGAACCTACTACTGCATCGCTCAGCTTTGAACAGCTTTTGACAAAATGTGAGTTCACCAAAGAAGAATACCACAGGTGTTTGCAGAGCAAAACCAACGGCAGTCAAGTGATGCTGAAGCGTGGTCCCAAAGATGTTTGGGTAAATGGCTACAATCCCTACCTTCTGAAAGCCTGGAATGCCAACATGGATATCCAATTCATTCTCAACCCATACTCCTGTATCATGTACATGTGCAGCTACATCAGCAAGGCGGAACATGGTCTGAGTGAATATCTCAAAACGGTGATACAAAACTCACGTCAGGAAGATGTCAACGAAAGCGATGAAATGAAACAAATAATGCAGGCCTACTCCAAAAAAAGAGAGGTAAGCGCTCAGGAGTGTGTGGCTCGTGCATGCGGTCTACACATGAAGCAGTGTTCACGCAGCGTGGTGTTTGTGCAGACGGATGACAACGCACTGAAAATGAGTTACCCCTTGTCACACCTGGACAACAAACCTTCAGAATCGGAACATGTGTGGATGACAGGGTTACCTGATAAGTATGTATGCAGACCAGAAACACCAGACTTTGAGGCAATGTGCTTGGCGGATTTTGCATCGAGCTGCAGAATAGTCTATGGCAAGCAGACAAAAGGCAAAAACACTCATCGCCTGCTGAATGAGATGGGGTTTGTCCAGAAGAGAGCAAATGATGAAAAACATGCTGTCATCAAATATCGACCCATTTCCCTTGAGAAAGATCCAGAGCTGTATTATGGCACATTGCTTAAACTGTACGTGCCTTACCGCTCAGAAAACCAGCTGAAATCTAACCACTTCCCAACTTACCAGTCTGTCCATGACCATGCAGCTGTTTGGTTACCTGGATCACAGCATCCCGAGCGCGTGAAGGCAATTGTGAAACGCAACAGAGAAAAACATGAGAAACACCGTGAGGACATTGACAGTGCCATTCAAGAGTTTGAAGAAAGAGGAATGTTGCTAAATGAATGGGGCAACCTGGCGCCTGAGAGTGAGCTCGAACGGCTCGAGTGCATAGATGAACTCAATGAAAGAGAAGCTGATGAGGACGTGCAGGAGAATGTTCCAGACTATAATGTGAGGTCAGACGTGAGGCAAGAATCTGCAGTCACGATCGAAGCCCCTGAAATTGATCCTGTGGTGCTGCGTGAGATGTACCAGAACTTGAACCAAACGCAAGCTTCAGTTTTCCACACCATTCGGGAATGGTGCTTGAAATGTGTTTGTGGTTCAAAACCAGAGCAGTTCTTCTTGTACATTAATGGTGGTGCCGGAACAGGTAAGTCTCATCTAATCAAATGCATCCATGCAGAGGCATCTAAAATACTCAGAAGACTTCCAAGAAATGCAGAGGAAGCAGACATCTCTAAACCTACTGTTCTCTTGACTGCATTCACTGGTACTGCAGCATTCAACATTTCAGGTACAACATTGCATTGTCTCTTGAAGCTGCCCAGAAGTCTCAAGCCTCCTTTCCAAGGTCTTGGTAACAAACTTGATGAAGTCAGGGCAGAGCTTTCAAATGCAGAGATACTCATTATTGATGAAGTCTCCATGGTCTCCAAACAGCTCTTTGCCTACGTGGATGCGAGACTGAAACAAATCAAAGGAAGTCAGAGACCTTTTGGTGGAATGTCAGTTCTCACTGTTGGAGATTTCTACCAGCTACCACCTGTCAGACAGTCGAAACCTCTGTGTGTGTTCGACCCGACTCAGATCGACCTCTGGCGTGACAACTTTCAGATGGTCACACTGACCGAAATCATACGTCAGAAAGATGATGTCACTTTTGCTGAGACGCTGAATCGAATCCGTGCCAAAGAAAAGACAGTGTCTTTGTCTCATGAAGACAGAGTTCTGCTTTCACAGGCCTTAGCTGACCCGGCTCAATGTCCAAAAGACGTACTGCATGTTTTTGCGACAAACAAACAGGTTGAGGAACACAACTCAAAAACCTTGGACATGTTTCACTCCGACGTCACCACAATAGATGCAGATGACTACAAAAAAGATCCAACCACCGGGAGAATGACGAGACAAAGTGTACCTTTCCAAGGAAACAAAAAGGAGTTGCCTGACTCGATAAAATTGGCCATCGGCGCTAATGTCATGATCACCAGAAATATAAGTGTGCAGTCAGGTCTCTGCAATGGAACATTTGCACGCATTGCAAAAGTAGTGACTAAAGCAGGAAATCCGCATGTTGAAAAACTCGGACTGAAACTGAACAGTCAAAGTGCAGCAGCCAGCGAAGCAGATGTGGATGAAAACATCGTGTACATTGACAGAGACGAGGAGAACCTTAAACAGACGGGAGTTGTCAGAAGACAGTTTCCCATCAAGCTCGCTTTTGCGTGTACAATACACAAAGTTCAAGGGATGACAACTTCCTCGGCCGTGGTCTCACTGAAACACATCTTTGAACCCGGCATGGCCTACGTTGCTCTGAGCAGAGTGACCTCTCTGAGTGGACTCCACATTCTAGACATGGATGAGAGGAAAATCTATTGCAACCCTGAAATCACTGTAGCTCTTGAAAACATGTCTAAAGCTTCACTTGAACATGTCATGCCTCTCCTCAAGATCCCAGAAACATTGAGCAGGCCAGACACTCTCACTGTCATTCATCACAACACAGAAGGACTACCAGCTCATATCACCGACATCAAAAGTCACCATGAACTACATCTTGCAGACGTGCTCTGTCTCACTGAAACTCATCTGCGAGGATCCTTTGTTGCTGAGAGTCTCCACCTTGAAGGCTACAACATGTTCAAACGTAACAGAAACGTGTCTTATTCAAACCATCCTGCCATGGCCACTAAAAACGGTGGCGGAGTTGCCATCTATGTGAAAGAACACATCAGAGTCCTTGAGAGACATTTCATTCAAAATGCCACTGATATTGAGTTCAGTGTCATCAAACTTGAAGCTCCTTTCAGGGCTCTAATTGCTGCCGTCTACAGGCCTCCTGACTACGATGTTCACTCATTCATATCCAACCTCAGAAGTCTCTTGGATTCACTGGAAGTCATGGATCATCATCCCATCTTAGTCTGTGGAGATTTTAATGAAGATTTGCTGTCCAGAGCAAGGAAGCCTATTCTTGAACTGTTTCAGTCCAAAGGTTATGAACAACTCATAACTGCTGCAACCACAGAGAAGAACACGCTGCTTGACCCCATTTTCATCTCTTGCCCGCAGTCCTGTATCCATTCTGGCGTGCTGCGGACATACTACAGTTACCACCACCCTGTCTACTGCGTGCTCACTTTAGAAACACCCTAAAAAGAACTGGCTGGTTTAAAATTGAGAACTTGGTGCAAAGTTAAGGGAAAAAAAAATTATTGTGTCCATAACTGTCGGTTTACACGTTGCGATTTAAGAGAAGAGTTTTAATTATTGGTTTCCTATTCGATCACCTAACGAAACGTTGTAAACATAGTATATTTTAAGATGGGGGGGTCGTCCTCAGCAGCCAGGCTGTAACACCTGCTCTGGCTGCTCTAGCTTTTAAAAGGCTGGGAGGGAGGGATGGTCAGACGGCCCTCCTATACCAAAGAAAAACATACCTGCAAATACTTTCTAGTCACTGTACAATGTGAGATTAAAGACAATATATAAAACTTTAATAAATTTCTGAAAAATACAGTGAAGTAAAATGATGCAAAGGTCAGTACATTATTAGTAGCATTTAAAAAAAAAAATTAAAATATACAGTGAGACAAATTAAAAACAAGCTAATTTAAAAGAAATAAAAACTGCCACTGAAACTATTATGAACTAATGAAATATTATAAACAAATTATATTTTAAGATGAGGGGGTCGTCCTTAGCAGCCAGGTTGTAACACCTGCTCTGGCTGCTATAGCTTTTAAAAGGCTGGGAGGGAGGGATGGACCGACGACCCCCTCCTATACCAAATTATATAGAAATACATTTCAAAATATACAGTGAGACAAATTAAAAACAAGCTAATTTAAAAGAAATAAAAACTGCCACTGAAACTATTATGAACTAATGAAATATTATAAACAAATTATATTTTAAGATGAGGGGGTCGTCCTTAGCAGCCAGGTTGTAACACCTGCTCTGGCTGCTATAGCTTTTAAAAGGCTGGGAGGGAGGGATGGACCGACGACCCCCTCCTATACCAAATTATATAGAAATACATTTCTGCAAGTCGTTACTTTACGCTGTATTAGAGTTGCCCATTATGTCCTGCCATTTACTTTGAGTAGTGGCAGGAAGGTCTGAGGATGCATTACTGCTCCTCATTTCTCTTGAACGACTTGGTGTGGGCGTAAGGTAAGAACAATATTGAGCTTTCATATATACTAGCTGCAGGACTGCTCCATTTTAAATGTGAAAATACACGTTGTTTTACTGGATTTGTTTGTCTGAATCTCTCTGTTCATTTGTTTGGGTTTAGGCACCTGCGCCCTCCAGACACCAAAGATGTGGGGTGATGACACTAGAACTCCAGCTCTGTGCTCAGTGTGTCCCAAGGGCCTACCTTGGAGAGGGGAAGACACATTTCATCCTAAGAGAGCATCAGGTCAGCCTATGATTTTGATATCAAGACATTTGCACTCTGAGTTTGTTGCCTTTTACTGTTTGTGTTTGTTTCTGGTGGTCTACCAAAGGAGATAAGGATGAGCCTCTCTCAAAAGAACATCCATTGGTGAACCCTCTGTCTGACACTTGGTTGTATTCACACCTTCCTGGGCTGAGAAGTTCGTCACCAAGTCTTTCACAGCCGTGTAAATTTACGGGTAGGAGCTGCAAGTGTCACAGTGAGAAGAAACAATTCTACCTGTAAATTCCCTGAACATGTGCATGGTGAGTGACAGTACAGTTTATTCCTTTTAATCTAAGGCTGCCAATAATTTCTCAATGATGCTCCATGGCATTTTGAAGAAGTTCTTTTTGTCTGGTAGAGTGTCACAGTGGCAGCCCCACACTGGCAGAGCAGCGCCTGAGCAACAGTTCCAGAGTACTGCAGCTAGACAGCTGTGTCTTTGAACTTGAGGAGGACCCATACACATTGTAAGTTGACTTAAATGTTGTTACAATGTCTGTTTTCTGGTGTATTCAAATCAATCTGTAAGATTTCATCTGTTTTTTCTCTCTCCTGTTCAGTGCTACAGAGAGAGGTGAAGTTGGACATGCCGCGTATGCAACATTATCCTGAGAAGAGGTGCCACCACTGATCTTGAACAGGACTCAAGCATGTTGTGAGTGGACTGAACAGTTTATTGATCACGAAGAGTTTTGTGACATTTGCTAGAAAAGTTTAAAGGTATTGATAATAAATGTAAAGTTTTGTCTGCCAGTGCTGTACAGGAAACCAAACCCTCTCCGTGTGTGACCAATTAGCGGAGAGAACTTCTGATCCAGGATTGGACAAGTTGTTGCTCACACAATGCTGGACCTCTAACGGGTATGTACTTGTCTTCAGCAGTCATATTATTTCTTTGTGTTCATCTGATGTGACAACCTTCTCTCCTCTCTGTACATCACAGAAGTCGACATGAGCTGAAGAACTAGAAAAGTCCTGCAGATCTTGTGACTGTGGCTTCTTAGAACCAAGCACCGAGTCTACAGCAGAGAAGGGTTCTGACCTGGGGAGCAACAGCTCTGAACTTCACCAAGTATGTTTCATCTTCAAAATCTTTGACTTTTCCACACTACAACCAGCTGTGTAGGATTTCAGTTTGTCGTCTGTAACACCAGTGTAAACTGTTGTCTTTTCCTCTCAACTCATCACAGAACCAGCTCGACATGAGCCACAGAGCCAAACCCAGCAACCATGTGACCCTGGAGCCATGTGATCTCTGCTGAGCTTAGAACTCTAAAATACTGCATGCTCAGCCGTCCTGGTAGGGGATCCCTCTAAGACCTGGCCTACCTAAAGGTTTCTTCCTCTTATCCTGAGAAAGCTTTTTTGGGGGAGTTTTTCCTGACATGCTTGGAGGGTCGAAAGGCTGATGGTGCCATATACCCCAGATTTTTTTTCTGATTCAATGTCAATAAAGAAAGAAAATGAAATTCTGGAGTTTTAATTTACTTATTTGAAAGAGTGAATGAATGAATGACACATCCCAGTCAGCTTTGTTTCTCCAGGTGCACTAATTGGTTGCCATGCTGAAGGTAAATACATCATTACAGCAAAAGAAAGAAGTTCAAGTTCAAATGAGTTGTTGCTGATTTTTAAAAATATGTGAAAAGTCAAAAGGTATGAAGTATCAGGAAGATTTTAATCAATTTGAATAAACTCAATTGAATAAATTGAATAATGCATGAATAATAATTTTAAAAATTCAACGTTTGAAAATTAAAATGATTGAAAACCCTGAAGCATGGGAAAGGCTTGAAGAATCAATAAGGTTTGAATCAGTTCAAATGAGTTGGAATTTGTTGGAAAGAACCGAAAAATGCACTAAAGGAAAAAATGATTTAAAACTGGAAAATAAAAAGGTTACAAGTCTGGAAGGAAAAGAGGTTTGAAGAATCAAAACGGTATAAATCAGTTTGAAGGAGTTTAAATTAGTTTGAAGAGTTAAATAATGCATTTTCAATGAATGATTGAAAAATGGGGACAATGTAAATGAAAAAAAATCCTGATTAGACCCCATAATGTCCTCAGTGAGCTGAATTTATTAAGCCCTGGATGGTTTCTGTAGCTCAAGGTTTGTGCGAAGAGATAGCTGACAAAGTTCGTCAAATAACTCTACTGAAGGGTTTTAAATGTAACCCCCAGTACTCTGTGTACTGAGCCTGGCTTCATGTGTCTCATATGGCTGTTAGAAGTAGCTTACCAGCCAGCTGTGTGTCTCCAGGTGCTCTTATTGGTTGCCATGGTGACAATAGATGCTTAGCAACAGCAGGAGAAAGGAGGCTTGAGGCTGAGAACGTGATGCCCAAACAACGTCATATTTCTCATCCTCTGTAACTGCTATCTTCATGATCAGGAGCTTGTGACAACCACAAGGCCCGGCTGAACACGTTGATACAACTTCTGTGTTTGTGGAGCCAGAAATGCCTTCACTACGACAAGTTAAAAACATGTCCAGTTTGTGTTTCCTCTGAAAATCCTCCTCTCAGGTTTACATTGGAGTCAATGGAGAAAGCTGGAGAAATCTGGGGGATGTCTGCGGCAGTTGGTGTCTGCCCAGGCCACTGTGTGTGTCCTATGGCTTTGATTTTTGAGATGAATAGTGACAGCGAGTTTTGCCATCACTGTACCAAATTTTATCTGTGTAGAGCGAAGTGAGTTGCCACAATCCTTTTGTAAAGACAAAGTTTTGAGGATCAATTTTCAGCCTGTCTCACTCTAGCTGTGAGGTCACCCACTCTAGCGGCCAACATTCCGTGCAATACACACTAATGTTAAAACCTGGACAGGTCAGAAAATCATGTGAATTTTTGAACTGTCACTGTGAGAAAAGTATGAATGCCATGAAGATGGTGAATGAATGAGTGAATGTCTGAAGATGTGTGAATATTTTAAAGTTTGAATGAAGTTTCTAGGTGAAAGTATGAATGAATGAGAAGAGGTTGAAGTTGACTACGTCTGAAAGCCTTTTCCCATTGAATCCCATTATAACGAAGTTTTAAACTAATCTTAATATTTTGAAAAGTACAAATGGGATTAAAAATGTTGAAGATGTGGAATAATGCTGACGAATTTGTGAATATTTTAGTTTTTGAATGAAGTTTCTACGTGGAAGTATAGCGGAGTTGAAGGCTTTTGAAGTTTGAAGCCAATTTGAACATTCCGTAATGCATTTCTAATGGGAGAAATCGGTCGGAAAACCTGGAATATCTAGGAAAGTATGAATGTTAGGAAATATTTTAATACAAGCCGGAATCTCCTGAATGAGATGAATCTTTTGAAGTTTGAATGGTTTGAATACGTTGAAGTATGTGGAAGGAGTAGCGTGTCAAAAAACGGTGGAAGAATAATAATAATAATAAAGATATGAATAACATATAGTGGGAATGCTTCGCAATCCCACTCAATAATAATAATAATAAAGATATGAATAACATATAGTGGGAATGCTTCGCAATCCCACTCAATTATCTGAAGTATTTATCTGCATTATAGCTGAATTTAATTGGAATGATACGAGTGAGCAGGAGTGTCTGTTTGTGGGCGGGGCTTTCTGGAGCAGAGAGGAAGGGGAGAGGAGGAGCTGAGGGGAAAACCGGTTAGGAGGGGTAGAGTTTACATTCAAGATTTCTCCCAAAAACTGGCACTTCCTCAGATCCTAACTACCCCACCTTTAACTGACAACATGCCAATGGAGAGTAGAGGTGAGGTGAAGTGTGTTATTTTATTCACTCTTTCTACATTAACATCTAACTAGTGAAGGTATGTCCTCACCTTAAGGCCAGATTGACCACACCTATCACACAGGCAAGCAGGATCCCTTTAAGCAGCCAGGACTCTGAGTTCATGTCGACAATGGCGCCCGCACTTCCAAAGAAGGCAGTGCAGAGCAAAAACTGTAGAAAAACCTGGAACAGAGACAGGATGGAGTCAGAGAGACGACATGAGAGTTTGTTTTATATTTCTCGTGTATCTTCAGCTTGTGTGTACCCTGTATCTGTTGAGGAGTCGTAGGCAGCGTGTGTTGGTGCGGATCCTCTCCTGTTTGACGTGGTTGAGCATGTGGATGAGCAGCGGGCTGTGCACCTGGTGAGCCAAGTCAATGGGAGTATGACCCTAAAGAGGAAGACCAGATAAAGAAATATATTATGGTTGATTCAGCTTTAAATGTGAGGTTTATATGAGTGTTTATAACCGTGCTGCATCAAACATGGCAGAGACGTGAGCTGACTGGTTACTCTGTTTATGTATTTGAAGCAAAACTCTGAGATTCCACCTGCTATAGCATCTCAAATACATTCCTGCTATAGTTTAGAAACTAAATAACATGTTAGGAAACACTGCTGTGAAAGAATTGACTTTACTCCTTTTTAATTGAATCTGTATGTATGTGAGTATTCAAGGTTTCAATCTCACACAGAGGTTAAAACTACCACTGGCTCTACAGGAGCTGTGATATCTGTTGAACTGAGCTGTGAGCAGAGCTGAAAACCTCAGGCAGGTGTGAAAATAAACCGTTTGAGTGGGTGTCAAACTTCGAATTAACATCCTTCAACATAACGAGACTTGAATATTAATAAGATTAGTGCGTGTTAGAGTGAGGAGAGAAAACTGTCACCGCAATAGAAAATGTCAAAGTCAAGGCACATTCTCTTAAGATGAATCCTTTTGCAATTAAGAGCTCATGAGGATGTCAGGTGGTCACATGGTTAATAATCCAGATATTTTTAGATCATGTAGCGCTGAAGAAAACACACAACACTGTTCAGGTTGACTGGAGGTGTGTGTGTGTGTGTATGTTGTGTTTCTCACAGCTGACTGAATCTTAAACTTTCACGTCTACTGATTTGGTGTTTTTTTTTCGAAGCTTACGTTGATGTTTTCTGCGTCCACGCTGGCCCCGGCCTCCAGCAGGATGTGGGCTGCGTCTACGTTTCCTGCCAGCACGGCGCAGTGCAGCGGAGTGTTCCTGTTCACTTTGTCCACGGCGCTCACAGAGGCGTTATTCTTGATGAGGAAGTTCGTGGGTTCAGGCCTGAAACAGACGAAAACGCACTTTTACTCCTTAATGGGCTTAAACACTTTTGACAAGAGTGTCATTCTCAGTGGTTTTCACTAACAGAGATTTCTGCTCTTTAATCTGAGGAAATACTTGTTTTTCATAAACTTCACAGAAAGGTTGGCGCCTTATTTTTACACACAGAATAAACATCTTTTTCCAAACATCTCTCTGATCCCATGAAAAATATTAGTTTTAAACATGTTTTTGAACCGCTGTCGTTCATAACTCATCTGTGGAAGAGTCCTGGGCTCTTACCCGATAATCTTCTGAGCCGCTAACATTAGTGGTGTTTGCCCGTTGCAGTCAGGACCATCAACTTCCTGGAGGAGAGATTATCACCACCCAAAAAGATGAAGTCAGAGAAGAAAAGACAATGAAAGGACCTCTTCAAGTAGACTGTTAAAAAAGAGTTTCTGTATATTCTTACCTGTCCCTTTGCCATGAGGTAAGCAGCTATAGCCATGTGCTGGAAGAGGATGGCGAGGTGGAGAGCTCGGTAACCTTCTCCGTCTGCGACGGAGGGATCTGCTCCGTATCTCATCAGCTGGATCACCGTGGGGAGGTGGCCCTGCCTCATCATTGACAAAAAGCCAAGGACAGCTTTCAAGTAGGAGCATTTGGCAAAGTACGTTTCAAATCCAGATACAGATCCAAATCCAAACAGAGATAAAACGATGAAGTCCTGGGAATCCATCTGATGTTTACTTATGAAACTGATGGTTGTGACGAGTTTAAATGTGTGTTTCTGTCCAAATTACCAATCAAACATGGGTTATAATAATAAAATCAGCACCTACAAGTGTTGGCAACATTATGAATAATTGTCTCAAGTGTTGTCAAAAAATACCCACTAAACTGAATGTCATATTCAGCTGGTTGATGAATGAATTTATTCAGACAATAAATCTGCATGAAAAAACAACAGACCAAACCCAATAAAGAGACCCCCATGGTCCATTCATTCACCTTATTGCCCAGTGAAGAGGAGTAGAGTTCAGATCTCCCCCGAGCTGGTCCACTATCGCCCCTTTAGAAATATAATACCTGTCAGAGAAGAGCAGGGAGAGAAACAGAGATGATGAGACAGTCCAGTCAGATCATTTGATGTTAGTTTTCTGTTTGTAGTTCAGCTGTTTGAGTTTCTCCTCTGAAAGTTTTCTTCGAGTCAAGCGATTAAATCAAAATGCTGCTGCCAGGCTTTTTCCACACAGCGAGAGACGACTAAATAACACCAGTCCTCTCTCCCCTTCACTGGCTGACTGTGAGTTTTAGATTTTCAGATTTAGCTGCTTATTTTTGAAGCCTTGAATGACTCCAGTCGACATCTGTGAGCAGCTCACTCCCCATGTGCATCATGACTGCAGCCTGAGGTTCCTGAATCTCCACCGGTCACAGGAGGTGACTGAGCATTTGCAGTTCACGCTCCACAGCTGAGGAACTCCCTGCCTGAGGATGTGAAACAGACACACTGAGTGTCCTCCTCTGACTCTCCTCTGAAATCCCACTTCTATCATTTGCTGGGACTAGAAGGGCCTCTATGTTGAGAAATGACATGGTTCTCTTGAATTTAAAACCAAAATTATCAAATTGGTTTTAATTAGGATAATCCCTTCAGTTTTTTTTTCAGTATTAAGTTTAAAAAAGAGCAAAAAAACCAACAAATATCTGTCCAATGTCAGCAAAAAAATCGAATATCATGCATCTAAAATCTCCAATATCAGCACTCCGATAAAAGCAGTGCATTCCAGACTCCGCTCCGGCACCTCTATCCAGCAGCACCCTGATCCAGCATGGAGAGCCCACAAAATCACAACAGTGTGTACTAAGGTACAACAAAGTAGTAAAGAGTAGGAGTGATGTCGGCCCTGTGGCAGTATTTTTCATAAAAGTCTGAAAAAAAATGTTGCAGCTGAGTGAAAAACTTGTCATGCACAATATCGGTATCAGCCAATATTGAAAACTACAAAATCTGTATCGTTCCGTAGGTAAAAAAGTTGTATCGGGATACCCCTACAACAGATTCTTACAAAATTTCAAAATCCACTCATGTCCTCACTCAAATGTTCTCTGCTGAGTGTCGTGCAGTGAAATGTTTATGAGCAGATATCTCCGCAGTGAGTCTGTAGGAATGAGGTAAATATTTGCGGCTCGTACTTGACCAGTTCTAAGCGGTTGTTGATCGCCGCCCAGTGCAGCAGAGTGACATTCTCTTTGTCCGGCTGTCTGACGTCATATCCTGCTTCAACCAGCTCCTTACAGCGCTCCAAGATACCAAACCTGAGAGAAGCACACAGAGAAAGAAATCCATTTATACATGTATCAGTTACGATGACAATGACATGAAAAGACAAGAAGTGAGAGATAGAGTGGTCGAGAAGTCAGTGTGTTTAAGTTAGTCCCAGACTGTTGTGTTTGTAGTGATAAATGGTCATATGTGGAGACGCGGAGGAGTGGCTTTTCTTTTTTTTTCCAGTCCTACAAGAAAAGTGACCTTTGCTCTGCTGCACCTCAATTCATCTCAACTGATCAGGCAGTAAAAGAGAAACAATCCCGTGAGCTACTGTGCACACTTCTTGAAAGAAAACTTGCATGTGTCTGATATCACATGTATTTTATCATTATATAAGTATGTTAATCTTAATCGTATGTTTCTTTTTAATGATCATGGGAAAGGAGAAGTATGGCCTTGGAGTTGGGGCTGATACTTTTCCACTGAAGCCATGCAGCTAGATAGATGCTACAGTTTCACTCACAGGTTGTTTTCCCAGCAGTGTGACATTCAACTGATAAGCAGGAACCTGATGATGAACTAAGCTGTCTTTGTTCTCCCAGTACAGACCACAGCGGCAACCTGTACCCTATTTGAATACTGTTGCTATGTCATGCCACTTGTGAGATGATGTTTAGTGGGCGGGGGTGTCTGTTTCTTGACTGGATGTGTAAAAATCTGAATCCCTCAGTCAGAGGAAGCTGCCTTTGTTGTAAGCTGCCGGCTCCTTGCAAGTAAAAGATATTGCAGAAAAAGAAGTCCACTGTCTCTGTCGCTCTTCTCAGCTGGCTGCAAGTCAGATGCAGTATTATTTTTCCGATACTGCTGACTTTATTTATAAAAATAACCCTCATGATTAAACACAGAGGGTCTGAAGGGTCTGCTGAATACACCCTTCAAGTTTTGTTGAGCAGCTCCTGAATAAAAACATTGATCAAGAGCTTGTCAGAATCAGAAATTCCAGTTGGAGGGAAAAAATGTTTGAGACAATTATGCAACAACAGCTTTTGCTCACAGAGTGGAAGAGCTTTTTTCCCCTGAAATGAAAACAGAAACTAAAACTTAAAACATGAACCGACAGATATGCTTAATAGCGATGGGAAAAGTCTGTGCTCTGCTCTCTTGTAATATTTGGAGTAAAAGCCTCAAAAGCAAAAGTTTCTTCACGTTTAGGAACTTAAAGAACATCTATTTGATGAATTCTAACACAAACTATGGAGAGGAAGTTATAAAGGAACGGTCTGTCACCTTAGAAAAAGAGGAAACATGGGTGACTTAACAACTGTCAGAGTGCAAGTGAGGTTGCGCAATCTATGATTGTAGATTCAGGCATTTCTATCCAGTTATTGATTATTTCATGCAATAAGACGAGTAAAAAACCTTTATTTATCAAACTGATGATTATTTTGTCAACTGAAAAAAAAACAAAAAAAAAACACACACATCCTTGCAGCCCAAAGTTGGGTGGGTGCTGGACCAAAAAACGTGAAACGAAGGTAGGAAAAAAGTCTGCAACACTAGAGGGAGCTCCAATGCTAAAAGAATTATTAAACTTACACGACGTTTCGAGCACGCAGGCTCTTCCTCTCCCTGCGAGCTCAAAACATCATGTCATTGGAGCAACAAAGTGGTGTTGCAAACGTTTTTCCTACCTTTGCATTTTGTCACCTGAGCCATCGTTTCAAAAAGCTCAGTGAAGGTACAACAATCCACGCTCACTTCTCCTCAAGTCCTTCAGCAGCTGACTGAGGAATGTTGCCTCACTACGAGATCCTCAAGTCCTCCACAGCCCGCTAAGAAAGCAGCCAACATTCGCAAACTCATTCTCCCTGTTGTCCTGCACAAGACACTCTGCTGTGACTGATGCAGCAGCGCTAAATACTGCTGAAGATATGATGACTACCGTATTTTTCGCACTATAAGGCGCACTTAAAATACTTTTGGCTTGTAAGAGCACTGCAGCTACCGTAGCCTTGCGGAGTTATTGAATGAGTTCAATAAAGTTTGACCTATCTGACTGTTTTGCTTGGCTTAATGCGCTTGATAATCCGGTGAGCCTTATGTATGAAAATAGACGCATTCATTGATGGTGCACCTTATAATCAGGTGCGCCTTATAGTGCGAAAAATACGGTACACATACATTGGGAAAGCCTGGGTTCGTGCACATGCTTCCACTGTGTAACGATAAACCCCAGGTATGTGCACCTGTGCAGGTCAAAAGAGCTTCAGAGAGCTGAAAGGAATGTTGATCATGCAGCCTTCGATGAGTTTGGTTGTGCGTTTTATCAATGAGAAGTGTGTGACTCTTGGAAGTGAGCTCACAGGGGGCGAATAACTTGTTTTGCCTCATTCCATTTGTCATTGTATGTTTTTTTTTCACATTCAGGGAGTAAAAGAAGACGCCATTAAAATTCTAGTTTGGTAATGAAAACATCTGAAATATTAATTTTTCAGAGTAAAACGAATGGAAAATTTTACTCCTGGACAGTTAGACAAACTGTCAACAAACTAAAAGTTCAGCAAAACGTGTTTGACTTTACAGAAAAACAAAGACTGATGTCAGAATTATGACTGATACAGTCTGTTGTCAACATGTGAACAGTCGTACAACCCCAGAGACTCCATCTGACCTTGCCTACTCTATGTGGTTAAATGGTTCATCCCAGCAAATACACATTTCTCATTGCACAAGCGCGGACTTTAACCTCCAAAAAAGAGCAAAATAACACAAAAGAAGCTTTCACCTAATCCAGCTCAACTCTTTAATGCCTGTGCCATTGTCTCACTGCTTTGGATTTTAGCTCTGTTGTACTTCTGTCTACGTGTTCCCAGATGTCGGAAAATGAAAGTTGCGGTAAACAAAGACCATAATGGCTTCCTGCGCATTTACCAAACTGTGGGATCACTAAACATGAAACGCTTCGTCGCTTACTGTGACGCTTTCACGATGTCCCAGGTGCTGCTGTCGTCCATGTGTGAGCGTTTCTTCGGCTGCTGGCTGAGGTTCAGCGTCTGTTCCGAGCTCTTGCCAAACTGTCCGTGAAAGCCTGTCATGAAAGGGTGGGCCGCTCTTGGCCCGTGACTGTGCGAGTGCCCCCCATGTCCGTGGTGACAGCCGTCATGCATGTGGCTGTGACCCTGCAACACACAAACACACACAAAAAAACACATAGATATGATTGAATGCGGTTAGCTTAGCTTTCACAGAGCTTGACTGATTTACTTGAGATTATCAGACCCCTGAGGATTTAAGGGATGAAAGCTGTTTTTATGATTTGGGAGAATGATGATTTTTCTTTGGGGGGAGGAATTTTCAATTTGGGAGACACATCAGGGTTTAAAACCACGAAAATGGACTCAAAACATCAATGTACCAAGCACAGCCAAAAACCTCTGTTGTATTTTATCTTCACAGATCTAAAGTGCTCTGTTCTGTCTCGTTTTAATGATCTTCATCCCCACAAAGGACTTGACATAAGACAGACATCCAAACTTGGCTGATAGACTCACTGAATTACTTAAAGTTGGGTCTGGTTTTTATCCTCTTGTAGCTGGTACAGAGTCCACTAACTGTTCTCCAGCAGAACAACGGCAGAGTTCAACAAAGGTCAAGTCTCCAATTTTAATCCCTTTCTCACTCAGTTAATCCCACTGCTCTAATGAGGATTGTAGTTTCTAAGTGTGATAATGAGGGGAATAATTAGCACTTTAAACCTGAGCAAACACTCGCAGAACACTGGGATTTTTCAGTAGGAAGACATAACAACGTATAATACTGTAAGTTAATACTGTAAAATTAGCCTTTGTTGGTTTAAAAGCAAAAACTGATCATTTTTGTGTAGTAATATCTTTATACACGCTCCTGATGTCAGGCTAACAATCATTTCAACCGATCAATTCAGTCAATTCAGAGGGATTGGCAGATTCCAAAGTCCACACCATGACAATCAATGAGCTGTTTCATTGGGTGACACGTTGAGACTGCAGGCAGGTTAGTTTAGCACCTGGGCTTGTCTACTACAGAGCCATGCTGTTGTAATACACACAGAGAGTGGTATAGCATTGTCTTCCTGAAGTGTGTAAGGCCTCTCCTTGTCTAGATGCCTTCCTTGATGTGGAAGTTGAACCCTGTCAATAATAACGACCTTAAACAGGCCCCGAGAAGTTGCTGGCGTTACTGGATCATGTTTTTGTGGTTTTCATATCACTGCAGCAACAAACTGTGCTCACAGACTGTGGTTTTTGAACAGATTTTTGAGCCAATGTGAAGATTTCCGCCGAAGAGTCATGTCTGTCTCTGATGCCATGCTGTCTGAAGGCCCCAAGATCAGTCATTCAGTACTAGTTATCTGTCCTGTACCCTATGAACAGATTTCTCCATATCTTCCTGATCCTTTAATAAGTTACCTACTGTAGATGATGAAACCTACGATTCCTTTGGATTGGATTTCTTACACCCAGTCATGTTACAAACCAGTTGCAAATTAACTTACAAATTTTAGAGCTGTTCCTCCAGTTATTGTTTAAAGCATTGCATAAATTTTGCAATGTTTTGTTCTCCTTGTCCCAATTTATCTAAGACAGGTTGTCAGCATCTAATTTGGATTTCTTTTCAATCAAACAATACCTTTTCGTTTGAGCATTTAAAATGTTTTCTTTGCACTATTTTCAAGCATATGTGGGGTTTAAATGTTTATAACAACATGCAATGGTTTGGTTTATTTTTAATCATCTTAAATTAATCTATATTTTAATGGTGGAAGTTTCTTCACAGATAATCGACTCATTGATTCTATTTTGAAGAAAATTGTATGTGTCTATTGGGGAACTAGATGACTGTGACAAACAGATTGTTTTTAAGAGTTAAAACATAATACTTTGTCGTAAAAGAAGGCTTCTTTCTATCAGGATTGAACTACCAGGGTGTGAATTCATTGGGTTTTTTTTCTTGTAAAGTGGGATGAGTTGCATTAACTGCTTTTTACCAGAAGAAATGCACAATACTATTAACAGTATTTCGGTTTCAACTCTTGAGGTTAAAAGCCTCAAGAGTGAATCATCAGGATTAGCTGATATGAACATTTCTGCCCATAAGTAAAGACAATAAAGTGATGCATAATTTATGAAACCTAGTAAGAGTATTATTGAGAGTCAGGAACAGAAATCAGATATTTTACTATTACCAAAAGAAGTTTTTTGTCTATTTCAAGAAGAAAATATACTGTAACAATAAGAGTAAAAGGCAAGCTCTCGTATAAGAGGGGCTTGGTGTTGTTTATAGTGGGAATTAGGGCTGGGCGATAAAACGATAACGATATATATCAAAAAATAACTTTCAACGATATCAATATAAAACATGGTCAATATGCTTTTCAATAGCTTGTATTCTGCCATGTTTTGGTAAACTATACGAAGAGACAATGAAAAGGGGATTTGCTCCGGGTCGCGCCAGGCTGAACCAATCATGTGCTGAATAAGAACCAAGTAGCAAACAACTGTGTAGTAGCAGGCTGCAGCTACACGCAACCATAGCACTTTAACATGTGAAGCTGACAGCACTGTAGGTGAAGAAAAGACAATGAGTGCTACCTCCGACAGAAATGACGATGAAGGCTCAACAGATGATGACATCGACAACAACACGGACATGAAAACATCGGTGGTGTGGAGGTATTTTGAGTTTTTGAGGTCAGACATGAAGCCGAGTAATGTGTACTGCATGTTGTGGAGGTATTTTGAGTTTTTGAGGTCGGACATGAAAACATCGGTGGTGTGGAGGTATTTTGGTTTTTTTTGAGACATGAGGCAGAGTAATGCGCACTGCAAATTATGTCGAGTACATGTTCTCGTAAAGTCGTGGAATTCCTCAAATCTTTTTCAACACCTGATGCAGTGCCACACATAGAGATATATGTATATAAACGCTAGATGGATTACGCATGCTGTTAGCCAATGGAGACCGACGTCTAAACATGGCGGCCATCTTGCTTCAGGCAGCTCGCCCACTCATATCATTACAGTCTACGGTGCATGTGGCATTTAAATAACCATAAATTGCTTAATTTTAATCAAATGTTGTTAGAATCATTTTAATCATGGACTTTCAAAAGTTATTATTATTATAGCCACGTTATTAAAGTATGTAATAAACAAAACTGTTTGTAAATCTGTCAAGATTTTAGCGAGTTCAGAGTATTTTTGATCATGCAAATAACTCACCTTCCGTTAGCTACCATACAATGTACCTGAATGGCATACTGAAGTAAGATGGCCGCTGTGTACGGACGCGAGTGACTCCGCTTTGATTCATCTACCCTTTTTTATATACGTCTATGATGTCAGCAGAGCACACGCAACACAAAAGGTTAGCAAGGAGGCCATGGCACCTGTGCAGCCAAAACAGCCGACCATTCAGTCTGCTTTCTCTAGTGCAAAACGCTGAAGAGACACAAGGGCCTCACAGATGATGTAACTTATTTTATTACAAAAGACATGCTAATAATAAGCACTGTTTCTTATATCGTGATATATATCGATATAGACTGATATGAAAGAAAATATATCGCCCAGCCCTATTTACAGAGGGAATAATGATTACTGAGTGTAAAAATATAAGCTTATTTGATATCGACCATCCTGTTCTCTCCTGGTGTGATCAATCAGTTGGATGTTTTCACTGTCAGTCTAGATGTCAGAGGGCTGACTTAGAAACATATGGTAGAAAGGTAACCGCTGTCTAGCTGTGAATGGGCTCTTTGACATGTGGATTTAGACGACCACATGTAGCCATGAGAGGAAATAACAGATTTACCAAACAGGACCACGGTTTCTTTACAACAGATCGATAAAATAACAGGTATGAGGAGTGCAGTGAAACGGTTAACCGCGCTGGCTGTCAGTGAACCGTTGTGTCAATCAAACACAGACTATCAGTTTCCTGTGAGGCGGACGTCACTGAAGACTATCAGCTAAATCTCACCTGGACAGGTTAAAGAGAGAGAATAACGAGTATCTACGCTCTGTAACGACAGTAGTGAGCTAACAACACCGCCTAGAGAAGACAAACTGACGGTTGATCCGTCTGTCTGTCTGTCAGAGAGGACAAGTTCCCTCCGACGAGCTACAATTACAAAGCGAAGCTAGCTCGTTTATGCTACGACTCTGCTGAAATATGTGTATTAGGAGGCGAATAAACTGAGCGATATTCCTAAACGACGCAAAAGCAGCCCAGATACTCAGATAACAGAAAAAATATCCATAATACCAACTTACAGTGTCGTCCTCAGTCCAGTCCATCTTGTTGTGAAGGAACGAAGAGAAAGTTCCTCCAACCGCTGCACGAGCCAGAGTCAACGTAACACTTCCGCTATGTTTCTTTCGCAATAAAAGCCGTGAAAGAACAAAAAACATGTCAGCAGTGTTGGAAAAGTACGCAACTTGACTGAGTCATTACTGGAGTCAAAGTGCAAGTGTTCCTGGACAAATAATGCGTAAGTGCAATGTTGCTCAGTTAAGCGGAAGATAAGGGAAAGTTCTGTACTTCTCTGCCCTCCCAAAGGGACTATATGCAGTATATTTCTCAAATGTTCTACAAAATTCATAGAATTGTAAGGAAAAACAAAAAACGAGTTATACATTTTTGTTGTTGTTGTTGTTGTTGTTGTTGTTGTTGTTGTTGTTGTTGTTGTTGTTGTTGTGTTAAAGTCATTGTCAGAGCTGGCCCAAGCCTCAATGGGGCCCTAAGCAAAATTAGATTTTGGGGCCTTCTATTTCTGCCAATATATTGATTGTCAATCATTCACACACTTACTACAGTACAAATTGAATGTGCCTGACGTTTCTTTACACATTTAAGGGAATGGCCTAGGTAATAACATAAACAATCCCAATGCAACCATACAAATAATACCAATGAATGACTAATGAATGATGTTCAGGGTGCCACATATGGTTTTTAATCTCAAAATGTAACGCAGTCAGCTACAAGAGCGGCCTGGGGCTGATTTTCACAATATTCCAAGTGATAAAGCGTTGTGTGTTTACTGTACAAGTGTCATCGGCAGTAAGAATAATAGGCCTACATCAGCAGCAGCACGAAAACATTTTTACTTTATTTTATTTTTACAATAATATATATTTGATCATACAGAAAGCATCACAATACATGCATGTTGGCCCCTATTGGCCGTGGGGCCCTAAGTAGGCGCTTAGTTTGCTTATGGCTAGCAATTTCTCTTATTGTGCTTCTGTTTAAAAGTGTTATATTTTTTCAGGGACTTTCATTTGAGTTGACTTTAAGTGCATTCACTTTTAGCGTTTTTGTTTTCCCATATAATTGCGCCAAATAATCTTCTTATGGTCAAACGTGACACAGAGAATGTTGGTCTTTTATTTTGAAGGCAGCATCTCTGAACTGAAAACGCTCCTTCAGCTCATTTTCTCTCACTTGATACATTTTTGATTTCATTCCTTCCCTCTTCCTGAAAGTGATTTCTATTGGGCTGTAGTTTCACTTCCTCCGTCAGGCCTGTATTTCTGCTGTTCTCTTATTTAACAACTTGAATAAGTTAAATTAGTACAAATAATCTTTTAAAGCTCCACGTGGAAATGCAAACAAAATCTCCAACACATGCATCCTCATTAAAGAAAACTTCATTACTATTATTATTAATTTAACAACGAAGTAACCCTGGACATGTTTGATTTAAAATACAGTTTAAATATACTGGTAATAAACATTTATGAAAGTCGTTTAAGTCATTCTCTACAGATTTTGATGCTTTTAATTAAACGTCACCAAATTTTAGTCTGATTGAAGGAGTTCGTTCCTGTAAAATACCTTAAACTGGAATTTAAATTTAATCAAGAAGCCTTAAAATGAAAGGAATGTTGAAAAACAAGTTTAACACTGTAGCTGTGTGTAAAATGTGAAAAAAAGGAAACCAGATTAAACCTGTTTTTGGAGCTGATCTTAAACTTAAAATAATTCCCAGCCCCTGAAAAATCCAGAGATAAATTGTCAGGTGAAATGAAAATGTCAAATTTAATTCAACATAGCAACATGAGATGATATGGTTTATGATAAGAAAATAGCAACTTAGTTCTGTTTCCCCAGCAACCACAATAGAAACCAGAGCATGTGTCACAAAGGGGAAAACACCAAATCATGCATGAGAACTGTTATTTTTAACCTTGTCTTCAGAACAGAACTGAACATGGACCACAGCCTCAATATTAATCAAGTGTCTGTAGCTATGGAGCTGTTTGTACAGACAATGACCTGTGGATTAACCCGAGCAGTAACATGGAGCAGAGTGAGACAACACGGCATTTAATCAGCTTTCACTCAAGTTAAACAAAGTATAGCATTATTTTGATGGTGTAGATTTGAAATGGCAACTTTTCACTCGTGTCAAGTTTTTTTTAACTGTGCAGGTCGTCTAAAGGAGTTTCCAGAAACCTTTGGTGGTTATAAAAAAGCGGATTAACCCTTTATGCAAGTTGTACAATCAGACTTAACGTGATCTTCACACGACCAGTGAGGAGGCAAAGCTGCTGCAATAATAATATCTTGAGTTCTGAGTTTTACTTTGGGGTGTGTTGAAATTTTAACCTCCTGAAATCATCCCGTTATGATGCTCATCATTTCTAACTTGTATTTCTGCACATTTTTGCCTTTATTAGACAGAACAGCTGAAGAAAGAGGGGAAATATGGGAGTGAGAGTGCAGCAAAAGGTCACGGCCTTTGAATCAAACCAGCTGCTGCAGCGAAGACTGTAGCCTTTATACATGGCTGCCTTTAGACCACTAGATGGCGATGTTTTTTTGAATGCATTTCTCATCTCAGTACCTTAGAGCTTTGACGTTCATTTCCAGTCTCTGTCTCATCATGGCTCTGCTTAAACTAGCTGACCTGCAGACGTCTACCAGTGGACTCCTTACTTTTACAACAATAGTTTACTTGCTTCCCTTTGTTTGAAAACACTGGAAGTTACTGCCTCCACTCTGTGATCCAGTCACAAGACTTTGTTTTACTGTCTGTGCTCAGATTGGGTCTTGAAATGAGGAAAAAGAGTTGCTCTCCCAGCTTGGTATCGGTCTAAGAGAGCTGGTCTCCAAACATCTAAAAAGTGTTCAAGCGAAATGCACAAGGCTGCAAGTGTTTGACTAATTCCTTTTTGTTATATGATGCATTAATGAAACATGCTTCTGCTGGTCTTGGTCCGGACCCTCTTTTAAAAGTGGTATTTTTATCTCAATGAGTCTTTTCTAGTTTTAAAAAAAATTAAATAAATTAGTTAATACACTTATAAAGAAAACATATTCCATATTCCTTTTGATGCTAAAAGTGATTGTTTCTGACCTGTATGCCCCACAACATAAGAGAAATAAAGTTTAAGATATATAGAACTAAAATATATAAACTACCAGATCCTCAAAAATGAACTAGTTGAGAATGAAATGAAATAGTTTGAGAAATATTTCTGACCTCACACATCTCCTGCACTTACAGATGAATTACAGTAGATGGCGCCATCATTCAATCCATTACCCTGACTGCTGTATTGAGCCTGTCTGTCAGTGACTTCACCCCCTTTGGCGTCATCATCATTTTACGTTAGTTATAATTATTGATTTTAAGGAACAATTATTTCCCTCCGACTCTCTCAAGGTTAGAAACTCATGACAGTGAACATCCGATCTGCAACAACGCATGTGAAATATTTCCACGTTCTTGTGTGAATGAATACAGCTGTCATTTCTGAAGAGGACTCCACTTTGATAAAGATTCAGTGTCTCTATAACTACTTGAAATACAAGAAGAGAAATAGTGAGATGAAAATGAATCATTTTTGTTCATTTTTTTAATCATTAATTTTTATTTTTTTGGTTGATCTTGCCGCAGCAGGTTTGTTCGTGAAGGTTTTTAAAAATGCAAACACACTTTCTTAAAGGAAGAGCCACACGTACCTCAAAAATCTTATTTGAGACAACAATTATTCCAATATCACTTGTCTTACTTCAATGATCCTCTTTGCCTTTTCCCTGCATGAGGCTGACATCTTACGCGGATAACAAACCCCTTTTCAGGTGACACCCTTACACCCCTGTAGGAGCATTTGGGATTCAGGCCTTGCTTGAGGGCACCATGGGAGTAGATATATCTTCTTATGTAACAATGCTTTGGCTTCTTAAAAAACTCAATTGGCAAAAACACATATTATTCTTTACTGAGAACATTTTCAAAAGCATTTGTGTCATCGGTGAAATCAGACAGGCTTTACCTTGAATTGTTCTGGTTTCTTTGTGTCTTTTCCTTTCTTCCTGCACTTCAGTCAGGGCAAAGGACCTTTACAAACCATAAGCCCTTTTCACTACCCCACAGCTACCGTTTTATCTAAACCACTTGTCCGCTCAGGTCCTTTATTCCAAAATCTTAAAATACTAAACATTTTGGAAATAAACATACACCAGGGTTGTTTGGTATTTCAACAAATAATGAATCCTCCTCTGAAGAGCTTCTGTTCTATATGAGAGGTGCAACGATTGGAGATGAGGAAAGTAGTTTTCAAGGTGAGTTAAACTGCTGCTGCGGTTTCAGGGGAGGCTTCACAGTGTTGATGTAAAATCAAGGGAGTTTAACACCAACTTTTTACGTATTTGTTGGTGAAATGTCAACAGTTTGGTACCTTTGCAGAATAAACATGTGGACTGCAGCTGCGAGTTTTGAGTACCAAGCATGCTCTTTACCTGCTGAGCAATTTACCTGCACCATATTTGGGTTAGGAGTTACACTTTGGAAATGAAGGCGTGAGCGGTTGCATCTCTTTTCAAGTCTTCACAGCTGCATTACGGTGTAGGGTTACAGCTGCTACCATGCAGTCTTCAGGTTGTTGGTTTGAATCAGGTGGGTGGAGAGGGTTGTCCTGTGCAGAGTGATGATGTGGGTTATCACTGGAAAGAGATAACATTTTGACCACATTTTGCTAGTTGAGCGGCGCACAGTGTGGGCTCTTTCTGCTTCTGTGCTTTAGCTGGTGCTTTCTATCTTTCACAGACGGACTCTTTTCTGCTTCATACCTGTAAGTTATCTTTAAGTTTATAGTTTCTCTGCAGAGACAAAGTAAAACTAAACGTGAAGAGGGAAAGTCCTTCACTCTCACTTTGTTTCTCTGATGACAACTGGATGAAACGTGACAAACGTGATTCGTTGCTTAACATTTATCCAAGACAAAGCACTTAAAAACCTTCAGAAAATATCTTATCACAATTTGCAAATTTAAATGTCTTTATT